GGAGTTTGTGCATTAAAACAATTTAGTTGTTAAATGGGAGTTCTGTCCTGTACTGCCTGGCCCATCTAACTGCTTATAGGCAGTTGTGCTCATCGGTTAGCAGTGTGGTACATACAGCTAGCCCAGCACATTTAGTTTTGGGGTCTTTGTTTTGTAAGATTTATTATTTGAAAGGCAAAGTTACAAAGGGTTGAGGGGAGAGACAGAGATCTTTCTTCCACTGATTTACTCCCCAAATGTCCATAATAGCCAGGGCTGGGCCAGGATGAAGTCAGGAGCTTCATACGGGTCTCCCAGGTGGTTGGCTAGGGTGCAAGCACTTGGGCCATCCTCCATTGCTTTCCCAGGAGCACCAGCAAAGAGTTGGACTAGAAATGGAACAGGCAAGATTCCGGCTAGCACCCATATGGGGTGCTGGCGGGGTGCTGGCGTGACAGGAAGCCACTTAACCTATATGCCACAAGAATACTCCAAAAGATAATTTCTACAAAGAAGTTTTCTATTGAAGAGCCATAGCTAAAAGACTTAAATCATTTTAGGGGAACAAACTAAATTTTGGCATTGAGCTGGATATTTCTCCCATTCAACATTTCCCTGCTTGATTGTGTAAGTTGGTTTAGGTAAGAGCTGTTGCGTGACTGTGCCTGGCCCGTGAGAGGCAGGTGCAGGCCGGGGCTGCTGCGTGGGGCACGCTGAGGGCCCCTTTCACACCTGTGGGTGTTCTGTGTTGCAGGCTTCCTCACCTGGACGTGTGGAACGAGTTCTTTCACACCATGCTGAATATACCAGATTGCCATCACCTTCCGTCTCTGAACCTGCTCAGGCAGAAGCTGAGGAAGCTCTTCCAGCAGCACTACGCAAGCAAAATCAGGACGCAGCGCAACAGGCTCATCCTCTTGCTCTTGGAATATAAGCGATCAAGAAAATAAAACGTGGTGCCAGCACTCCCTAGAAATCACTTTGTAAGTGCCAACCTGATTTTGAACTTTGATGCTCCCCCCCACACACACACATAGTTTATGTAAATATTTGTTGAAAATAAAGTCTGCAGAGTCAGTCTGTCATGTAGACAGGCTGCATTCGTGAGAAATACCTGGATGTGCGTGTTCTCTAGCAATCGCTTCTTCAGTATCGACCTGTTTAAACCAAATGGGTCAAGAGAGTTTGTTTTCAGATTTGAAGTTTTGTGTTTTTCCAGAGACTTAGTTTCAGTGAATAAAGCTTGTCTGTCCTTTATCAGCCTTGTTCCTCATGACTGACAGATCCTAAGTGCTTATAATGAAAATCTCAGATCTTCATCATTAATCAGCTCTGAAATTACAGCAGCCTACTTAATGTTTTTTGACTTTGTAACACCATGAGGGCCCCAATACCTGAATAATTTCTTTTCTTAGTGTAAAAACAGACACAAAGCTGTGCACAGTTTGGGTGTAAGGGCAGTTGCTCCCTCCTGCCTTTATCCTCAGCCAGCATGTCCCCGTTCTAGAGGCAACCACAGCCTACTTCCTATGAATCTCCGGAAACTATCCCATGCATATTTATTTTTGAAACAACCAGCAGAATTTGTTTTTTTATGTAAGACAAATACATGTACAAGGGTACTTCAAACGTTCTTGGAAAATAGAGCTAAAAGCTAAGTTTTAACTTGATAGTTCATTTTTTTTTTAAAGATTTATTTATTTATTGGAAAGTCAGATATACAGAGAGGAGGAGAGACAGAGAGGAAGATCTTCTGTCTGATGATTCACTCCCCAAGTGACTGCAACGGCCGGTGCTGCGCCAATCCAAAGCCAAGAGCTCTTCCGTGTCTCCGACTACAGGGTCCCAAGGCCTATGGGCTGTCCTCAACTGCTTTCCCAGGCCACAAGCAGGGAGCTGGATGGGAAGTGGAGCTGCTGGGATTAGAACCAGCACCTATATGGGATCCTGGCACATGCGAGGTGAGGACTTTAGCCACTAGGCTACTGCACTGTGCTCTTGGTTGCTGTTTTAAACCAGAGCTCATTTCTTCCAGTCTTTCTAGCTAGTATTTTGAATATAGAATGTCTATTAATCTGCTAAAAAATTTTCCATTTATTTGATTCTTGAAGTTTTCAGTGAACTATCATGAATAGCATACTTGTTTTATGCCATTTCCAATCTGTCATTCTTGTCGTTGGAAGAGGGTTGTATTATGGTGGTATTGGCCATCCTAGTCTTGGCTTTAGTGAGAACTCTTCTGATGTTTATCCTTACAAGCTTAAGGATACTGGCTTCAGATAGACATTTTAATGTCTGTCAGTATCTACTGATGCCTACTTACAAATGTGAATTCGTACAAGGGTTTATGGAATTTTCCTCACCCTTCCATCTGTGATGTTACCACAATGAGAGGTTAAAATGTGCTTTTATTCTGAAAATAAAGAATATATTACAAGATACATCACACAAATAAACTTGGAAAATGACCCAAGGACCTTATCAAATGAACCAAGATTAAATTTACTAAATAAGCTGAGCCACTGATAAAGCCAGACTTGTGGAATTTCTTTAATTGATTTAGTTTTATGTGGAAGGTAGAATTACAGAGAGAAGGAAGGGCAGAAATGTTCTCTGCTGCTTTCCCAGACCTTAAGCAGGAGCTAAATGGAAAGTGGAACAACCAGGACATGAACCAGTGCCCACATGGGATGCGTGTTCCGGGTGAAAGATTAACATGCTAAGTGAAGCTTTTTTCCCTTTTAAAAATAGCAATCAAAAAAACAATACTCAAAGAGAAGACTGCTCCTTTTCCAACTAAGAACCAAGTTTGTCCATCTGAGAAAAGTTCCTCTACCTTGGGTGGGGCAACACTTGGCTTCAGCTTGCGTCCCTTTGGATGTGTCACCACCACTAGCCCGTCTGCTGTGGCTGGATCAATCTGCCTCACACTGAGGACCCTGCAGCTCACCAGCAACTTGTCCATGGGTCATCCCCATGCTGCTGGGCCCATCTGGTACATAACGTATGGCAAGGGCTGAGCTCAGCAATAGCCTGTACCCAGGACGAAGGGCTCTGTCTAGACAAAGTGACTGACTTGAAGCATTTCAGCCAAATGGCTTTCTTATCATTTATACCCCTGGAACAACCTAGTCCTACATCAGTGTTTGCGTTACAGTTCTCCTGGTTGAGGGAAAAGAGCTCTGTGTTAAAGGGTACCCGAAAGGGATGCAACAGAGGTTGGAATGGGACTTTCAGCTCCTTCCACAGTGCCCTCAAGGACAGAGCTGACTCACCCCTGTGATGGCCCCAAATTGAAAATTCTTAAATGTTGGCTAGTCTCAAGTTCATGGGTGCAGAGGGCCAAGGACTTGAGCCATCTTCTGCTTTAAAATTATTTTGAATAACGGGTATTTACAGGGTACAGTGTGATAACTGGATACATGTACAAGTATGCAATTAAATATTTTAAGGGATTAACAACAGTTACACATGTATTGGATACAGCATGTGATATTTCAGTAAATGTATGTAATGCAAGTGATCAGATGAGGATAATTAACATTTCCGTTTTCTATCATGACTTTGGAGTTTTCGAGTTTAGTCTTCAAACCTTCTGTTTAATCACAGAATACTTAATAGTTTCTAATAATCTACAGTGACCCCACTGGTCCAGACTTCCTCTCTGACTGAGGCGTTGCCCACTCATTCTTGGCCATCTGCTCCACGGGGCCAGCTGAGGATGGCATGCGTACTCTCAAAGTCTCCCACACTCATGAGTCAGAGTAAGTCAGAGTAAGTGACTCCATTATTGCCTAATGTTGAACACATAAAGCAAAATACAGGTGAACTCTGAACTTGTGAGCCATTGTTAGGATGGAATACTCAGCACCAATATGAAACAGTTATTGCTGTGGGTAAGTTGTTGAACAGTGTATATAAAATATACCATGACATCCCACCTAGATATGAATATTCATGATAGACAATTATATATTAACACACATGATAGACATGACTAAGAGATTTAGTCCCAGCAGGGTGAACAAAGTCAGCCCTGTTGCCACAGGAAGAAAGGGTATCAGACTGAAGGATCGTGAAAGGGGTGAGGAAAAGCAGAAACGAAGAGCAAATTTTGACTATTTCTAGATGGAAGTTTGTGGAGAGTTATACATCATTCACTGGTTTTAAAAACATGTATGATAAATACATGTGTCAAATTTTAAAAATTAGTTTGCAAGTCAATGTAGTTAGAATACACAATAATTGTTAAGTATACAAAGGTACAAGAGTTCTAAAAGGCAGGTGGGCCTCACAAGCCACATGGAGTGGCTACCATGGCACAATTTCTAGGCAATTCTCGCATGATTGGGATTCCAGAATGCCAAAGCCCAATGCCAGACAGATGTGTTCCACCTGCTGGTTCACTCCCCAGTGAAAAGGCTTGGACTGGGCAGAGGCCAGAGCCAGGAACTGGAACCAGTAGCAGGTAGAGAAACCCCAGTAACTTAGCCATTGGCCATCACCACTGCCTCCCACAGTCCTCTTCAGCAGGAAGCCAGAGGCACACATGGAGCTGAGTACAGACCCAGGCTCTCTCACGGGGTGACACAGGGTTCTTAACTGCTACATAGCAAACCTCCTTGGGTAAAGGAACTGAGACACACCCCCAGCTCTGGAAAAAGAAGTCATACAACCATATGTTCACATTCACATTTTTCTTCTGACCACATACTGTGTTTAAAAGCTCCTTCCTAGAATATAGTTCTTGACTATAAATATGCATCGTGCCTTCATGTAGCATCGCAACACAGTGTTAGTTTTAAAAAATGCTAAAAGTATCATATCAAATACATGAAAGGTTTTCCTAAACCCACTGGCATGACCACACACACACGCAGGTACAGGAGAGGGAAAACTGGCAGACCCCTGGAAACCCCACCCTCACTGTTCTCTCTCAGTCCCTGACCAGACTCAAGGACATCCACAGGCACAGCCCACTGAGGCTCCCCCTTTCCATGCCACCACCTAAACATCCAAGCCTCTCAGAGCACAGAGGGGAGCCAGGGCAGGGGAAGTTGCCTCCAGACCACACACGCAGAGGGGGCCCGCAGCTCGCCTGGGCTTGCAGCCCTGGCCCCTGCAAGGCCAGCATCACGCGCTGCTTTCAAAGTTGGGATTCTTGAGATACATGTCACTGGGCGAGAAGCTGAGGATCTCATCCAGGGAGGGGCCGTCATCGTCAGGAGCGATCTCAGACTCAAACATCCGCTGCAGCAAGGCATCCACGGTCCTGTACTCTGGGAGGGAGGAGAAAGAGGCACGTGCAATCCATGTGGGCTCCAGGCAGAAGAAGCACCCAGCCTGGGCTGGCATGGCTGGCTCCCGAGAGCCATAGGGAAGGATGCACAGGTTGCCAACTCCCAGGAGCTCCCAGTCAACCCCCAGGAGCTGCAGGCTTGGACAACCCCTACTGGGCGTAAGCCTCAGCCAGTGCCCAATCTCAGATCAGTAAGGTGTGGGTTTACTCAGCCAACAAATGAAGCAATTAAAGAGCTGTTGTGTCTCCTTGTGTCCCCCAGCGCATTGCCATGCCTTGAAGATGCCACAGAAGTTACGAAGAGACACAAACCCAAACCCACATTGAGCTTCAAGCCTGCAAGGAAGACAGATGGGAACCAAAACAGACCCTCTGTGAAGCTGACATGTGCTCGGGGCAGGGGGCGGTGATGGGGCAGGGGAGAGTAGGGAGAAAAGAGTGTGTAGCCACCCATACAGGCACCCCCGCCCTCCTGGAAGAGGCCAAGGGGGAGGCTAAGGAGGCGGGAGTGAGTCAGCAGCATTGAAGGTGACCCAGGAACAGGATGAGGCAAAGGAGATGCTGAGGGGCTGCAGGAGTTGTGGAAGTGGAAACCGGTATGTGGGTGATGAGGGCCATGCCAAGGGGCCTTGTCCTTATCCTGGAGAAATGGGAGCCACTGAAGGTCGTTGCCATGGAGACAAAGAGCCAGCTGAAAATCAAGTCCTGCACCAGTCAGAAACTCACTGTTGGATGCAATCCTGCAGTACAAGCCCTTGGAGGCCTTCCTTTCAACGCCCTCATCCTCCCCACTGAAGCCACCATCCTTGGCGCTCAGGTTAGCTGTCGGCTTTTCATCTTGTTCTTCTTCCCTTCGAGGAGGAAAACACAACATGAACAAGGTTCCTCTGCTGGGTTCTGCACAAGCCCCCCCTCCCAGGCACGGCCCCCAGTCGCTGCCCAGCCACGCCCTGGGCAACTCAACCCCAGAGGCCGCTGAAACAGGCGCAGGTGCCACACTGCCACATCAGTCACGGTCCAGGGCTCTGGATATGATGCCTTGCTAGGGGTAAGGTCATCTGCAAAATGGGCGACTCACTCTTGGATTCCCACACCGAGCTCTTGAATCTTCTTCTCGATCGCAGTTTCTATTTCGCTTTTTTCCAGCGAATATGCAACAAAGAATGCCTCCAGGACGAACGCTATGAAAATACTGAGAAAGAGTCGGAGGTGGAGGGGTGAAGGTGAGTGCGTTCAGACAGCGTAGGTGAGCCCCGAGAAGAGGCCAGCTTCCTAGCGGCAGGAAAAGGCAGCACAGGAGGGAGCAGCAGTGAATAGGGGCCTCTCTTAAGGACACCCTCTGTGACCTCGCCATTTCACTCAGCTGGGAAACTGCACAGGTGATTCAACCCCCAGGGAAAAGGAGGGGAGGCTGGCCAGGACCTCAGATTCCCGCCCACACAAAAGGACTGGGGGCCTGGTGGCTAAAGTCTTTGCTTAGCATGCACCAAGATCTCATATGGACACCGGTTCTAATCCCGGAGGCCACCCCCCCCTTCCCATCCAGCTCCTTGCTTGTGGCCTGGGAAAGCAGTCAAGGACTGCCCAAAGCTTTGGGACCCTGTACCTGCATAGGAGACCCAGAAGAAGCTCTTGGCTTCAGATTGGCTCAACAATGGTTATTGTGGCCACTTGGGAAGTGAGTCAGCAGACAGAAGAACTTCTCTGTCTCTCCTCCTCTCTGTATATCTGACTTTCCAATAAAAATAAATATCTTTTATAAAAAGGACTCAGATGGGCCCCTAGAGGAACACAGTGCGGACAGCCTGAGGTCGGTCCCCTGCATGCAGTGGGGAGGACAAGGGCCCCTCACCCCAGCCGGGAAGGGCGCAGCAGCAAGCGAAAACGCACTTGACAATGAGGATGACCACCACAATGTGGAAGACGATGAAGTACAGCTTGGCTGCCTGGTGTGTCACCAGGGCGAAGCCGCCTGCAATGAGTGGGCTGCTAAGGAAAAAGGCCTTAGAGGACACCCCCATCCCGGGCCCCAAGAAGCTTTCAGAAGCTCCATGCCTGCCCCAGCGAGCCCCTACCCACCCCAACTCCCCCACAAGAAGGAAGGATATCATGCCACTGGTTGACCACAGTGAGCTCGGTCAGCACGAGGAAGGCAGAGGCCAGGTGGTTGAAGTTGTTCTTGCAGTACCTGGCCCGAGCAAAGGCCGAGCCCTTCAAGGCTGGGTTCCCGCACAGTAGGGCATCAGGCGCTGTGAAGTTCGCGTCATAGAAATGCACTTTGCCTTGGAATACTTCCATCCCAATGATGGCGAACATGTAGTAGACCACCTGGGAGGGAAGGTGCCCCGTCACCATCGGCCCCAGCGGACAGGTCCTTCCAGCTGACGGTGGAGGGACAGGGGGAGGGCTATACCTGTGCCTGTTCTGGGCTTTCTTCACGAAGTCAGAAGACGGGGGGGGCGGGTGTTTGGCCCCGCAGTTAAGCTGACACGTTGAACACCGCCTGCCTGCATCAGACCCAGGGCTGACTGCTACCTGGAAGCAGTGGTGATGGCTCAAGAAGTACAGATCCTATCACTCGCATGGAAGACTGGGCTATGATCCTCCCAGCTTCTGGCTTCAGCCCAGCCCAGCAGCAGGCATTCATTGGAAGGGAACTCTGCCTTTATTTTTGTATCTCTCAAATAAATGAATTTTTATATGAAAGAAGAAGCTGCTAGCAAGATAATGGGTTAAATATTCAATAAATTAAAATCCTCTAGGGAAGAAAATAATGAAGCTGTGAATTTTCTCACTTGAACCAGAAGACGTTTCAGAGGCACCAAGATGTTAAAAGCAAGAAATGGAATCAGTAAGATATGGAGGGAGAACAACAAAGTCCGTACCAAGCATGATGTAAAAGCTAGGGACTGTGAAAGACTGGCAGATGGGCCCAGCATGGAGCCCAGGGGCTAAAGTCCTCGCCTTACATGCACCAGGATCCCATATCAGCATTGATTCTAATCCCGGAGGCCCCACTTCTTTTCCAGCTCCCTGCTTGTGGCCTGGGAAAACAGCCGAGGACGGCCCAAACCTTGGGACCCCGCACCTGTGTGGGAAACTCGGAAGAAGCTCCTGGCTTTGGACCAGCTCAGCTCCAGCCGCTGCAGCTGCTAGGGGAGTGAACCATCTCTGTCACTTTGCCTCTCAAAGGCAGGTCTTTCTGTCTCTCCTTCTCTCTGTATATTTGCCTTTCTAATAAAAGTAAAATAAACCTTTAAAAAGAAGAAGCACTGGAAGGTATGATTGTATAATAAATTTAAACTTTTATGCAGCCAAAAAAAAAAAACTTTAACGTCAGAAAACGAAACAAAAAATGTAAATGCATTGCTATTTTCTCACCTATCAGACTGGTGACAGATGGAAATGTTTCACAAGTCAGTTGTGTGGGTCCAAAGAAACAGACTCTGTGACACCCCAGTCCCAGGAATACATCCCAGGGCACACCCGCTAGAAGGCAGGCTGTCACCATCAAGCCAAATTCTGAACCCCTTTAGCTCACACCTGGCAGTCCCAACAGGTACACCCACACAGGCACACACACAAGGGTGGTCTTTGTGTGATCGTTGTGAGAGCACAAAGGCGAGACCACCCAGTGGTCTGTCAGTAGAGGGGCTAGTTAAACATGTTCTGGAATCTTCCCTCATGGGCTCACGTAACCACATGCCTCCCAGAATGTACGACAAGAAAGTATGACAGGAAGTAGAATGAAGACACACGGCATTGTAATGGGCTATCCCACGTGACTAAACATAAACTGGGTATACTCAGGCTTGTGTCTGATACACTTGTAGATGCAAAAATAGTTCAGGAAGAGGGGACTGGCACCATGGCCCAGTGGGTTAAGGTGCTACTGATGATCCTGGCATGCTATCACAGAGTGCCAGTTCAAGTCCCATCAGCTCTACTTCTGATCCAGCTTCCGGCTAATGCACCTACGAAGGCAGATGGTCCGAGAACTCGGGTCTTGTCATCCATGTGAAGCTGCTGGCTCTTGGCTTTGCCCTGGCCCAGCCCCAGCCACTGTGGCTATGTGGGGAGTGACCCAGCAGCTGGAAAACATCTCTCTCTCCCTCTTGCTCTGTCACTTTGCCTCTCAAATAAATAAATCTCATTTGAAAAAAAAATTTAAGACAAATATTTGGGAAAAGCAGCAAGGATCTTCTAATGAAAGCTGTCTCTGGGACAGAGGTGGGCGTGGGATGGGAAGGCTGAAGTGCAAAGTCCCCCTTCACCGTAAACTGGATGTTTTACCAGCATCTATGAAAGGAAAACTCAGCGCCCTGGGTACCACAGGGTCCACCAGCACCTGAGCTCCCTCCTTCACATGCACAACCACCTTGGATGGACGGTCGCCAGCCCCTGTGTGGCCTTCTGTGACCTGGTCTGCCCTACATTGTACAGTAGGGAGCAGCTGTGCTCTTTCAACAAGCATGACGAAAAAGGACCCAAGCCCTGGGGCTCAGGGTGCAGAGCCACAGGCAAGACAGAGCCACAGCCCTGAGAGCCACCCGTTGGCTAGGAATGTGCACCTGCACTTGGACTTGAGCACGGAGTAAGAGAGAAACTCCTCCAGGCTAACCCTCTGGGTGGCCAGCGTTCAGGGCAGCCGCCAGTGCACCCAGCTGCATACCCAGTGCTTCCAGAAACTCGGTGTTTAGGAAGAACCATTCTTCAGACCAAGGACTCCCATGTACCCCTTGCCCCTCGGTCACCGTCAGTAGGGTGAGGCTTAGTGAAGCTCCCCAGGGGCCAACGGAACATCTTCCCACTTACTTTGCACAAAAGAGCAGAGGAGAATGGCTACTTACGAAGACAAGTCCGCCAAATGTCAGCATCGTGGGGCCAATGTTAATTAAAGTGGTCACTATCACCCGGAATCTAGGATAAAACAAAGTCTCTGACACCAGGCCAAAGAGGGAGGGATGGTGCTGGTCCACCCACTCCCCCATCTGTCTATGGTCTTTGCAGGTGAGCAGGAATTGGCCCTCACGGGAGTTATCTTGCAGTTTCCCTGACACAAAAGAGGTTGCCAAGGAGCTGGGTAGAGACCCAGACTGGAGCTGAAAGGCTATTTCACCTCATCTGTTTTCCTCCCTTTCAAGTTCCCCGACCCCCAAAGCATGCATACAAGAATCAAGCCCTAGTGCAGGCCGTCCTGGAGGCTTCCATTGACCACTACCCTCTCTACAGAGGAGCAGGACAGCCCTCGGATGTGAACAGTGCTGGCCCTCCTCGAATGGAAATTGGTTTAGCAAAAACAATAGGCAGAATCCGGTGTGATAGCCTAGTGGCTAAAGCCCTCGCCTTGCACATGCCAAGATCCCATATGGGCACCAGTTTTAATCCCAGCGGCCCTGCTTCCCATCCAGCTCCCTGCTTGTGGTCTGGGAAAGCAGTCGAGGATGGCCCAAAGCCTTGGGACCCTGCACCCGTGTGGGAGACCCAGAAGAGGCTCCTGGTTCCTGGCTTCGGATTGGCTCAGCTCCAGCCATTGTGGCCTCTTGGGGAGTGAATCATCGGATGGGAGATCTTCCTCTCTGTCTCTCCTCCTCTCTGTATATCTGACTCTCCAATAAAAATAAATAACTATTTAAAAAAAACCCAGAAGGCAGAGTAGAGGAGTCCATGCATGCTGTGGGCGGGTCTATAGTGGCAAACAGCACCCAGGCACCTCTGAAGACAAGCAGTGTTACCTCCCAGGGCCATTCCAGCCTGGGGACGCAGTGTGATCAAAGCAGCAGCCACACAAGCTCGCATTGCACCGCAATTCACAACACAGCTCCAGCATCACCCACTGAGGAACGGACACAGCAAATGCAGCATGCTTGCACAGTGCAACACAATCCAGCCGTCACAAAGCAGGAGACAGTGTCCTCCCAAACAGCACGGATGGGACTGCAAAGTCGAGGAAGCCAGGCACAGAATGCAAGCATCGCAGGTCGTCACTTGCAGGTGCAATCTACAGAAACTGCGAGCGCAACGACAGTTACCAGCAGCTGGGGAGAGAGGGATGGGCTAGGTTGATTAGCAGGTCCCAAGTATCAGCTGCATAAAAGGAAGAGGCTCCGTTAAACAGGCAGGCGAGTACAGGTCAAGATAACGTACTGTGAGCTCCTCTTAAAAAACAGGAGTCTGACTGTCTTTATCACAAAGAAACGATCAGTGTTGAGGGAGACAGGAATGTTTTGCATATCCACACGTTACACAGTACCCTATTTATATGTATGACTTTCACATTTCAGTCAAGTTTTTGTTGGGGGGGGAGGGACAGGGGTGAGAGCTTAAAAAAATGTTTAAAAAACCAAGGGTGAGGCGATCTGAACTTCAGGGTCAGCCTCCCAGGCTGGCATCCTGCTTTGCCTCCTGTGAACGGTGACTTAACCTCTCTGAGTTACAGTGACAGGGATGCCAACAGTCCCTATACCAAGGGTGGCTGGAAGGTAGGGCTTCCTAGGACAAAGGTTACTGCCCTAGAATTAGCTTTAGTTGCCATGGCAACCGTTCTCATTCTGCCACTGTGCAGGCAGACACAACTCAGGGCAGGGTCATAAGGACAGAAGATCACTCACCCTGGGACGTGTCACTGCAGTGCCCTTCTCCCACCTGCACCAGCTTCCCCCGCCCCCGACTCCTCCCACCATCCCCCTGAGAAGCCCAGTTCCTCTTCATCAGTCACACCCTGGGTGCCAGGCTGTGTTGGTCGCCCCACGCAGGAGTGCCCTCTGTGGGGTCCCTGGTGTGGGGACCTGCCTGAGGGAGCCATTTCCTCGGCCTTCATTTGTACCTCTGAATGCTGACAATGACCCGTAGGAGCCGGAGTATCCTCAGTATTAAGACGATATCCAGGATCTGCTGGCTGTTGTATTTTCTTGCTGGACAAAAGAGCACAATTGTGAGGCACTCCCCTTTCTCAGAGCCTCCCTGGTAGGGGGTGAGGCCTAAGGCTCTAGGAGGTGGGGCACTGGGGAAGGATGTAGGACAATGGATGCCAACGCTGTCTTGAATCCCAAACTGCCCCTGTGCAAGGCGAAGCCAGCCCAGGCAGGTGAAGCCAAGCATTCCCAGCGCCCACCCCTCTACCTGTCACCATCACTATCCCCGACCAGCCCTGAGAGCTAAGAATCCACACGCAGGGGCTATCTCGGGCCACGCTCAGGAAGTGACTGTCGCCAGTTACACAGAACACTTTGCAACCAGCTTTCCTCTCCTTGGATGGAACTTCTGAGCATCGTCTTGCGCAACCGCACTGTCTTATAGGATCCCACCTGCTGTCTGCAGGAGAGACTATACAAGAGGAGCAAGGTGCAGGCTGAGCAGCAGAGAGGAAAGAGGCCCATGGGCAAGGAGGAAGGAGGGATGGTGCTTCTATCTAAGCACTTCCTGCTATAGATAGAACTGGGGTAAGAGGTCAAGGAGAACGGGATCTCAAATTGGTGGAGCTCAGCCGGGACATCAAGGGTCAGTTTGGGAGGGATAAGTGCTAGAATCCAGTGGGATGCATGCCTACAAATCAGATCTCTGAGAAACAGTTGAACACAGCCAAAGCCACCACCCGTCTCAAGAACATGGGTCACTTTTTATACTTCTCTTGTGCCCCCACCCTTGTGCCCTGACCTCTTAGCCACACGTGGAAGGTTCGAGACATGACAGACAGCGAGCCTGATCCTCGGAGGGGGTGAGGCCAAGAGCTGGAGACACTGACCTGAATGAATGGTGGCATTGGCCACAGTGGCCACCAGGGCTGCGATGACAATCAATACGTCAAACCTACAGTGCAAAAGCAAAGTCTGTTATGAAACACAGGCTGGGCCTGCTGAGCTCTAATGGGATGGGTTCTGAGAAAACAACAAATCTGGTATCTTAGGCAATGCTGTGACCCACCCAGCATGAAACCCACTTCCAGCATCCTTAGGGAACAGCTGGTAGGAAGTGATGAGTCGTAAAGATAAAGGGGGTCTTTTATTACTTCTAAGGAGTCTCTTTCAGCCCATCAAGGTTCAAGTTTATGAGGTGACAGTGGACAGCCCTAAGGATGGGTGTGAGTGCCAGGGGCATCAGCTGTGTGAACAGAAATGCAGCCTCCACTGTCTCTCCCAGCCCCCATCCTCTGGGAGCAGAGAAGGCCTGCAGATTGACTTGGTCCCAGGAGCCAGGGATACCACCAGTTGCGTGGACACAGGGAAGCCACCACCAAGCCAAAGTCTGGGGTGTGGAGAGCCATCTGAGCTGGTGCACCTGTAGAGGCGCTGAGAAGGTGGTGGTGTCCAAGGACAGGATGCGGCTCCACACACCTTGCCCTGTGAAGCCCTTCCGTCTGGCCTTTTCTGAGTTGCATCCTTTATCAACAAACTGGAAATCTACTGTGTAGAAAGGTTTTCTTTGGTTCTGAGAGTCATTCAAGCATGTCTATGAACCCACAGATGGCATTGTGGGAGTCTCTGATCTATGAGGGTACTGCAAAAAACTGGCAAGAAAATGAAAATAAAAGCATGAATGGTGGCCAGCGTTGTGGCACAATGGATTCAGCCACTATGTAAAACGTAGAAACCCTCTCTGAGCACCTGCTACTCCACTTTGGATCCAGCGCCCTGCTAATGTGCCTGTGGAAGCAGCAGAAGACGGCCCAAGTGCTTGAGATCCTGCCCACATGGGCGACCCAGCTGGAGTTTCAGACTTCAGGTCTACGGCCTGGCCCAGCCTCAAGCCACTATAAACATTGTAGACACTGCAGAGCAAACCAGAAGATTAAAGGTCTCACTCCATCTCTCTCTCTGCATTTCAAATAAATAAAATCAATCTTCATTAAAAAAAAAAATAGGAAACAAACTATGAGTTTATTTGGTGCCAAAAATTTGAATGGAAAAAATGTTCTCATAATGTATGGAAATACATACTGTCTATCGTTCTCTTTGTCCATGGACTTTTTGATGTACCCTCATAAGGTGACAACTCACTTCCTGGACAGGACTGGCACCTCAAGTGGGGACAGCAGGGTGGAACTGAGTCTCTGGCTGCCCCCCGAGACCTGCTGCTCTCTGTAGGTGCGCCCAGCCAGAACACAATTGGACTTAGGGCTTCCAGCAGCTTCTGGAGAGTCTGGGAAGCGCTTGCTGTAAGAACTGCACACTTGGTGTCAGAAGTGGTGTGACACTGAAGAGGGAAAAGGCTTTACTTTTTTCCTTTCTTGTAAAAATCTTTTCCAAAACCAAGACACTATGAGACTGGATTCTAGTTTTAGCTGGACTCCATGGAAACAAACATTATCAGCAGCAGCTGTATGCCAGTAGATGTTCCCTGTGCCAGGACTGTACTCTCAGGAGACCTGCACGGAGGCCACGGAGCTTGGGCAATGGTAGCCACTGTCCTCATCCCCATACTGTGCCGGGAGGTCCCTCCCTGTCCCCTGGCCACTGCTCACCAGTTCCAGAACTGCTTTCTTCCAAAGTAGGCCCTGGGCTCGTATGTGTACAGCTTCAGCAGGATCTCAGCAATGTAGAGGGACAGGAAGAGCCACTCCATCCGGGAGATGATAGGGCTCTTCTCATCGAGGGCAATGAAGACGGCATTGAGGAGGATGATGACGTCATAAACCCACACGAACACTCTGGTGCAAGGGAAAAATGAAAACAGAGAGGAGTCCCATTATGCAGAGTTTTAGCATAGATAGCATGAGGCTGGGCAGGCCCCAACCAGGGCTACTCCGATCCTTGATGAATATGGGGGTCATGGTCATCACACACACAGATACTCTCACACATACACAGATACACACGCTAACTGAGTCTGTGGAAGGTTCCAGAGTGCCTGGGCCCTAACATTCATCTGACCCCCACTGACCCTGATGCAGTTTGTCTCCAAGCAAGGAATGAAGCCACATGAGGGGAGGGGAGACAGCTGTGGTTTGCTTGCGTTTCCGTGCCCAGGAAACCCATGGATCATGAGCTCAGAGCTCAGGCAGGCTCAGGGGCTTTGGCACAGGATGTCACACATCTGCTACTTGTCCCTGGAACTCTCCCAACCTTCACTGCAACTGTTCAGAAAACTTTTTGCTCATACACATAGGCATCTCAAGCAATTGACCCGCTGTCTTCCTCACCAAATGTGGGATGCCCAGAAAAAACTCTCACGGCTGGACTCTACTCATGATTTCAGACCTACAGCCAGCTGCCCAGGTGGCTCGCGTGCCCTTCCCTGTGCCCCCAGGGACTGACTCCTCGCATGACCACAACTACGGGAAGACACAGAGCCCACCCTAGTGCTGTCTGGGACACTGCAGATCCAAGGTCCCCGGACTCAGGGGCTCACAGAAAAGAGCAGCTACTCCAAGGGTTTCTGTAAGACATGGGCAGCTCTAGGGAACTTACGTCTCCAATGTGGGTGGCACAGAGTGCTCTATCTATAAAGCAGGCTGGGAGAAAGCTGGCCCCGTCTCACTTGCCTGTGTCGAACCATCCTCTGCACCAAGAGGCTGGCGGATGACTGGTAGATCCGCGGCATCCAGACGTCCAGTGGGTGCTTCTTGATGCTGATGGTGACCACCTGGATGTTGAGGAGGTCAGCCAAGCGCAGAAAGTTCATTCTGTCTGCAGTGAAAAAAGCAACCCTTGAATCCATGGCTGCCATGACTCTGAAGTCCAGCAGAGTCCCTGGGCTCTGCATTCCTTTATCCAGTACTGCCCAGGAGTGGCAAAGCCAGTGTATGACCCCTCATGTATCCCCCCTGTGTTCCCCATACCCCCAGGGTAGCAGAATGACATTTTGCTATCCTGCAGGTGCCAACCCCTCATGCCCTGCCCTTGCCCTCCCAAGGGCCATAGTGGCCTCCCAGGTCTGCCCTGACCTGGCTTGCCAACACCAAGCCTTTTGCCTTTTCCACCCAGGTGATCCATTTGTTCCCTATGATCCCCTGCATACCTTCCTGTCTGCTCCTGGGGACTCAGACCCATACCTTCCATAATGAACTCACCCATGACTCAGGCCAAGGTACCATGGGCACTTTCTTGCCCAACCTGGACCCACCCAATGGTTGAGTTGGTTTCTTCTACAGCTGCTGACTACCCGGGACCAGCAGGCCTTTCCCCACAGTGCCATGCACCTCTTCCCAAGCAGGTTACCCGCGCTAGCTCTCACATCTGTTTTTGCATAAACCTGAAGTAATTCTGTATAACTTCTATCATCGCATCAATGAATGGAATTAGAATGTATAGTGTTGCTAATTCTTTGCAAACTAAATCAAAGCCTTTGAAAACTCTAAAGAAAGCTGGTGATGTAAACTGCAAGCACAAATCAATCATAGCTGGGATAACCATTAGAAACTGAGACTATGGGGCCAGCACTGAGCACAGCATCTAAGCCTCTGCCCGTGATGTCAGCAACCCAAAGGGGCACTGGGTCATGTCCTGGCTGACTCACTTCCCATACAGCTCCCTGCTAATGCACCTGGGGAAAGCAGTGGAGGATGGCCCCAGTGCTTGAGCCCTGCTACCTATGTGGGGGTCAGAGGAAGCTCTTGTCTCCTGCTTTGACCTGGAGCAGCTCAGAACTCCATTGTAGCCACATGAAGCAGATGGAAGGACTCTCTGTCTCTCTCTCTTTCTCTCTCTTTTATATAAGAACCCATGTGGGAGACCCATGTGGTTCCTGGCTTTGGATCAGCTCAGCTCTGGCTTTGAGGCCATCTGGGGAGTGAGCCAGCAAATGGAAGATCCTTCTCTCTCAGTCTCTCCTGCTCTCTGTAAATCTCCCCTTCAAGTAAAAATAAATAAATCTTTAAAATATAAAATGTACGAAGTTTCACATGTAGATGGCCTAGCAGACACCCAGACCAGGTGTCCACTTCCATTTTCAGAAGGAAACAAAGAGGAATGGTTTCATTGGCAGCACTGCAGCATGTTTCCTGTGGGTTGTGGGACTGCAGTGCGTCAACACCAGGCCAAGCAAGGGCTCAGCCCTGCCAGACGTGCGGCCTCCTGCGTCAGACCAGGCCCTGAGCAGCAGCAAACACACATGCTGCCATGATGTCTGGATGCTGTATGCCCATAAGGACACTTTAAAAGAGCAAGAATCCATCAGACTGATTGAAAAATACACTTGGATATCTCACAACTGTTAGGTTTCCAGGCCTTTAGGGTCTGAAGGCAAACACACTTACCCATTTTTTGACATGCTCATTTAATTTTTATCTAGACTAAGAGAGAGAGCAACAGAGAGATGTCATTCATCCACCCTCCAGAGCCAGGAATTCCATCCAGGGTCTCCCACGCAGTGGTAGAAACCCACATGCCTGAGCCATGGTCTGCTGCATCTCCCAGGTGTGCATTAGCAGGAAGCCAGATGCAAAGCAGAGTGAGCAGGACTCTAGCCAACTCCTCTGATACGGGTTGTGGGCATCCCAAACAGTGGCTTAGCTTACTGTGCTGTAACATTATTGCCAGCAGGGCATATCAATACCTGTTTGTATTTGCTATTTCCCAAAACTGCTTGACTATAGACAGCCCTTCACACCCAGAAGTTCTGCATCTCAAATTCAATCGAGGATCAAAAACATAAGGAAGTTGAGAACTGCCTCTACACTGATATCCCTTCAACAATACAAGAACTGTTTACTTAGCATTTACGTTGGGTTAGGTAGTAGAAACAACCAGAGACCACATGACATATACAGAAATACGTGAATGGGTTGTGTGCAAACACTCCATTTCTTCTAGGAGGCTTGAGCACCCTGGGACAGCGGTGTCCTTGGAAGTCCTGGAACCACTCCATGTGTGTTCCGGGGATGATCCCAGCATGGCTGCTCTAGAACACACAGGACAGAGGGAGGAAACGGACACAGTTCCTCACCCACGTGCCCCTTCTGGCCCTCGTCAGAGATCTTCCACAGGAGCTCCAGATGGGATGAGCTGAGATCTGGCACCACCAGCCTTGCCAGTCTCTTCCATGTGGCTTCTTGCACCACGAACTCCACGCCCACCTGCACCTTCAGGATGTTGAATGCCTCGATCATCTTGTAACGCTTCAGGTATACGAGTTTGCGAATCTCATTCTAAAATCAAACAACAACAACAAAAGACACCCCAAGTTGTGCATTTTTGAAAGAGTCTTTGAAAGAGTCATGCAGGTGTTATTTCTTTTACTTTGAAACATTTCAAGATCACAGAAGGGACGGAGAGAAGGAGAGAAGGAGATGCACATGTGTGTCCGCAGCCCCGTGTGCATCAACAGACCATGTGTTACCAGGTTCACGGAAAATGCCCAGGAAGGAAAACCTGGGAAGCAGAACAGCAGGAGGCAGGCAGCCCCAAGCCCCAGCCTGCCTAGGAGGAGAGGGAGGCTCCAGGAAGAAGCAAACCAGCTGGGCTGCTGAAAGAAGATGGGAGCTTCAAGGAACAGGGCCGGAGATCTACCAAGGAGTCAGCTGAGCAGGGAAGACTTGGGGAGGGGGATCAGGAAATCTACCATGGGGTCTGCTGAATTGGTGAGGAGGAGGAAAGTGAGGCAAGTGAAACCAGGTTAAAAATGGCCCAGGGTCAGAGCCAGGCTGGAATACAACACCCATTGGTTCCAGTGGAAGTCGGGGCTGAAAACAGAACCAACCCAGCAATTGCAATCACCAGCTGATTGTGGTGATGGACTGTGGCGGGCCCTGTACTTGCTAGTACATATAGGAATCTGTTCTAGGAACACCTCAAAGTTTTTTTGGGGATCATCCCAATTGAAATGGCAGATTCAGAACTCTAACCAAGAAAAGACGGAAGATAGAACAGGTCAATCAACCACCTCAGCTATATGTTGGCAGCAAAATACTGGAGAAATGGAGACTCTATGATGGACTATGTCAATCAGTGGATTTTTCAATAGCGAGAAAATCCACTGGCGAGATTGGCAGCGATTCATAACTGGTGAACTATCAAAACCACTTGAGCAAGGATCTCAGAGCATGCCCCACATCCGGAACCTGGGGTGGGTGAGACTGGGTGGGGCTTCTTCCTCAATATTCCCTTTACCTCAGATATATGAAGGAAACAATAGGGAAATAGTGGTCTTACCCACTTTCCTGTAGCCCTTGTACTTTTTTACCCTAATTAACAATGTAAAGATTGCAAAAAAATATAATACTATATATATATATATATATATGTACATATATATATATTTAAAAAATGGCCCAGGGTGAGAAGGCCAGCTGGGCCTGCCTGCAACTGCCACCTTGCCTGACTGCAGGAAATATTCCAGAAGGAGGGAGGCCCAAGAGCCCTCGCTCAGTTAAAAGGACCCACTTATCCCCTATACCAGTAGGAGTCTCTACTACTCCTGGAAGTCAGCCACCCAATATTGCCATGATTGCAGACTGACTGTGCATTGTCTAAAGGGCAATATCGGTGTTGACTCCTTGGAACTTCCTGGACATGGCCAGGTACACAAAACACATCTAAGATCCATTTGTTGGCTGATGTGTGTGGCACAAGATGAATTTCTTCTTTTTTTATAAAGATTTATTTATTTTTATTGGAAAGTCAGATTATACATAAAGAAGGAGAGACAGAGAGGAAGAGCTGAAGCTGAGCCAATCCGAAGCCAGGAGTCCAGAGCTTCTTCTGGGTCTCCCATGCAGGTGTACAGTCCCAATGTCCCTGGGCCGTCCTTGACTGCTTTCCCAGGCCACAAGCAGGGAGTTGGATGGGAAGCAGGGCTGCTGGGATTAGAACCAGCGCACATATGGGATCTTGGTGCATTCAAGACAAGGACTTTAGCCGCTAGGCCACCGCACGAGGCCCAGAAGATGAACTTCTGAGAGCTTTCTTGCAATTGAGGGAGGGGTTTACTGGTGCAGTGGTATAACAGGGCCAGTCTACCTGCAGCACTGGCACCCTATGTGAGCAGCAGTTCATATCCCAGCTGCTCCACTTCTGATCCAGCTTCCTGCTTATGGTCTGGGAAGGCAGCAGAGGAAATGGTCCAAGGCCTTAGATCTCTGTAATTGCATGGGAGACCTAGAAGAAGCCTATGGCCCCCACCTTCGGATCAGCCTAGCTGCAGCCATTGCAGCCAAGTGGGGCATGAGCCAGTGGATAGAAGACCCCCCTCTCTCTCTGTGCCTCTCCTTCTTTCTCAGTAACTCTGACTTTCCAAGTAAAATAAATATATCAGAGAGAGACTGAGATTTCTTGGGTGAGAGGGAGGCACAGTTGTGGTTCTGTTATCCATCAGTGACAGAGGGAAAAGGTACCCAGCTGCTATAGAAGCACCCCTCTACAGGGGTCTGGCAGGCAGTCAAAAGGGACTGTGGATCTCGGAGATTCCTCAGGGCCTGGATGGAGTCACACACCTTTGACTCCTGGGCTCAGCCCACCACCCTTCCTTTTTCCCATAAACATTAAAGCCCTCTGCCTTATTCTCCCCTGCTCCCCACCTTGTGCGAACATCTCTCTTTTTTTAAAGATATACAGAGAGGAGAGACAGAGAGGAAGATCTTCCATCCGATGATTCTCTCCCCAAGTGAGCGCAACGGCCGATGCTATGCCTATCCGAAGCCAGGAGCCTCTTTCCATGTCTCCCACATGGGTGCAGGGTCCCAAAGCTTAGGGCCGTCCTCGACTGCTTTCCTGGGCCACAGGCAGGGAGCTGGAAGGGAAGTGGGGCTGCCGGGATAGAACCGGCGCCCATATGGGATCCCGGCCGTGCAAGGCGAGGACCTTAACCACTTGCGCCACCGCGCCGGGCCCTGGGAACATCTCTTGAAACATTCCAGACAGAGCCAAAACGCTGCATTGGAATGTGGTGCTCTCTCTGCTTCAGGAAAATCGCCCTTCAGGGACAGCTTTCCTCAGCTGTGAGTCTACAGGAAAGAGATGCACCCACTGGGGAAGGGTGTGGGTGGGAGACTGGGGAGGGGCTGCCAAGGACGAGAGGGCTGAGGGGTTCCAGGACATCCTTCTGCCCCCCAACACTCCAAAGCCTCCACCCACTTCAAATGTCAAAGCGACCGGAGCCAAGGACGAGTCTGCTGGCTCTAAGATGGCGTATCCATTTCTGTTTCCCCAAGCTCCAATCAGACACAGATCCAGGAGCTGGGAGCTCTTGGAGGCATCAAGGGCAAGAAGCAAAGCGAGAACCCAACCCTGCACCAGTACTACATGCCCTGCACTGCTCAAGTCTACCATGGAGGCAGGGAAAGCTGAAAGGACCAGGCAGCAGCTGAGCACCCCCCACCACTCCTGCCCCAGATCCACACAAGCCGGTAGATCAAAGCCAGCTACATATATCTGCCAAACCCCCACTGCCGGCCTTCTCCCACTGCCCCCGGTGCAGCTCCTTGCATGTTACCTTGAGGTGTTTCCTGTAATTGTTGTAAACCACAGCCAGAAAGACGGACATGAAGATGTACGTGTTGATGATGATATAGGCGATAAAGAACAGCGAGTACCACCCATTGAAGTCATAGGCAGGCATCCTAGAAGGAAACAAGGACGTTCTGTAGCTTTTTTTTTTTTTCATACTCTAGACCCACAGTGCCTAGGAGGCTGAGTGTGGGTGATATCCACCGACACACGATACTCATACACGAGGCGCCAGAAAGTTCTCCCTCACTCCCAGTCTGCGCCACCAAGCCTCAGGCATCACTATGGCTCATGCTGAACAGCTCATTCTAAACCTCCTGAAATCCTTTGCACCTTACAGTGGCACCGAGTTTCAAAAGATGGGGCCTTACAGATAGATGGCTCAACTCTCTTAAAAAAAAAAAAAAAGGAAAAAATTCCAGCCCTAGATAAAGGGAGTATTCTTCCCAGAATGAGAATGGCTACAAGATGCATGGCTTGGATTCTCTTTCGGGGTCTTGCCCATAGCCTGGTGTGTGTGTGTGTGTGTGTGTGTGTGTGTGTGTGTGTGTGTATACACAGGTAGTGTTCTGCCCATGAGGGACCTGTTTACTGATCATAGCTGGACAAAAGGCATGTGTGGCACAGGTGCCACCTTCACCCTGCTTAATGTTTTCCCCAGGGTAAGGCTGCCAGTGGGCAGCTGCTAGGGATGAGCAGCCTGGGTGGTCCTACACACCAGTAGGTGACAGAAATCTGCCACTGTGCAGCGGGCACTCTGCCCATGCCCAGGGCTGAAGAGGGGTCACCTCAAGCCTGCGCCATGGAAGAACTCTACCCCTACAAACAAGACAAATCCAGGACAAGAACCCTGGAGAATGCCACATGAGGAAAGCCACATTACATGAGTAATGGCTGCACTTGGAGATCAGGCAGTTTGGAGGGCAGGCAGTTTGTGTTTTTCCTGCCTCATATGGCCAAACTCCTACAGCGATGCTGAGAGCGGGCCATTCTGCTCCAAAGATGGCTCGGGCCTGGGCATGCAGAACTCACTGAAGCCACCGGAAGAGAAGATGGGCTCCAACACTTCAGAGCTCTAGCCCAACGCTGCCTTCTATTTTGACAGACTTCCAACTTCACGTGGTTTTACATAAAGAGGCTTAGCTACTACCTGCTCTTTCTTCTGAGCCTTGCTAGCTTCAGGAAGCATGGCTTTTTTTTTTAAGACATATTTTGCAGAATATACCTTCTTTTTAAATTTTTTTTATTTATTAATTTGAGAGTCAGACCAAGAGAAAGCACACACACACGCACACACACACACACGCACACACACACACACACATGCACACACACACGCACAATGAACTCCCACCCACTGATTTGCTCCCAGATGTCTGCAAGGGCTGCAGGCCAACGTTAAAGCCAGGAGCTAGGAACTCCATGCAGGTTTCCCATGTGGTTGGCAGGAGCTTGAACTCTTACCACTGCCTCCTCCAACCTGGAGTCAGGGAGCAGGGCCAGGACTCCAACCCAGACACTTGATGAAGACCCTGGGTATCTTACCTGCCACACACAGTGCCTGCCCCACACCTCCCCCACTCCCTCCCCCGCTGCTCTGACTACTGTGAGTTCTGTGAGAGGAACATGGTCGTCCAAAGACCCTTGGGGCACGTACATTACGTCGGGGCTGTTTGCTGTAGTGACCAGCACATAGAGCTCAAACGCAATCTCCAGAATGTTCGTGAGGTAGGGGGAGCCTTCTGCTGTTTTCAGACCCCTAAAGAGGAACCAAAAGCAATGATAAGAAGCACAAGCCGAATGAGGCTGTGGATCCCGCACACGCTGCCTGCAGTGAGCCCTGCCGGAGTGAGGGGACAGACCGTGCCACCCCCAAGCTTCCCCCAGGTGTGGGAGAACGCACAGTGGAGACTTCAGCACAAGGAGCTCACCTATCCCCAAAAAGCTTCAGGGCCATCAGGGAGAAGACAAGCACACTGAACATGAACAAGAGGAAGACGTAGAGGATGTCGGGCAGTGTGTTCCGGATGCTGCGGAGGGCTCTGCGCACCTAGGAGGGAACCATTTGCTCAGGTCTCCTTGGGAAAACCAAAGCCGAACCCCGGCATGTCCTAAATGGCCTCCTCACCTGACGACTCTCAGGTAAGTTGATCAGGAAGAATGGCCTCAAGGCCCTGGACCAGCGGACACTGTGGATGTGAGCGGCTTCCAGGGACCCATAGATAATCAGGTCCAACAGGGTCAGCTGCGAGAGATCCAGAAGGAAGAGTTACGGTGCCCGGGGTCGGAAGAAGGTGGGGAGGAACAGTGTGTATGTACTACTTGCCCAGCCTGGAGGAGGGTCTCCATGGGACTGAGAAGTGAGTCTTATTAACAGTGACATTCCAGCAACTCAATACCAACAAGCTCATCATTGAGCTTTCCCATGTGCCACAGAGCAGAACCAAAGATCCACTGAGGAGGCTTTCTTTTTAGCCTCACTGTATCAATCAGGTGGGTGTGATTCCTGGGCTGAGGGACTTGAAATACAGAGGGCAAACACGGGGCTCCTGATCACACAGCCACTAGGGGGCAGGATTGGGACAGGACCCAACCACTGAAGGGCTGCATGGATGTGAGTCTTTGATTTAACACAGGCCTCCCGCACCTACAGCCGGGAAACTGTCACGAAGTGTTTGGTATTTTTAACAACTCAGGCACTACCCATTTCATGGCCAAGCCTTTGAATTCATCCTTCCTTCCCAAAGATAGTGCTAGAAATGGAAGTCTTCCACAAAGATCCCTTTATTCCCCATCCCAAGAGGGTGTAAACTCAAGCTCACTAACGTTGCTGTAAAGGCAAGTTAGTATCTATTTTACTGCTGTTTTCATCTACATGGCTTACTTCAACACCATCCCTAGCCAGCTGTTTGCCTATTTTCACATCATCTTTTGACTGGGGCTTTGGTCTTTGTGTCTTTCTCCCAGAAGTATTCCCAAGGTGTTGAAAGAGTCACAGGTCCTGGATTGCCCTGCTGCTGCCTCCCTGGGCAGTGCACCTGCAGCTGGGCTCATGGTGTTGGCTCAGTCATTACCATTGCCTTCACCAAGACTAATCCAGAGCCGCTCCTCTCTGCGTGGCGTCCCCGCTGCCGGCAGAGAACACTCACCCCTATGGTCACCAGGATGCAGATGTTCTTTGTGTCCTTCCAGAAGACCATTTGAGGAGTGACTTTGGCAAAATGCATCAGTCTTCCAAAGAACACAGTCAGGCAGAGGATTTCCACTGTGGCAGTGGCCTGCAGGGGACAAGCAGGAACTAAACACAGCACTCAGCCACCAGGAAGTTTGACTTCCGCTCTCCAACCCGCTCTGCCAGCACCCTACCCATCCTGCCTGGCACCCTCTGAGAGGGAGCAAAGCCCTCCGTTCTGCAGAAAGGGGTCGCAAACTTCTCTGCTAGCTGAAACGGTGTCTTTAAGAACCCTACCCTGAGTCACAGTCCCCATGATCCCAATTGGTAGGGCTTTGTGAGCGAGGTTGGCTTAGCCAGCCAGAAAAAGGCAAGTCAGGTACAGCAGAGACGAGCCACTTCCACATGTCAAATTCCCAGTGTTTGTATTGAGCATAGGCTTCTAGAGGTGCCCTTCCTTTAACAGCAGGCTTAGCTCCCTAACTGTGGCTTTCATACACTCTCCAGAACTCACGTGTTAGAAACTCAGTCTCCAAGGTACTTGGAAGTGGAGCCTTTACGGGTTAATTAGGACTGGTTGAGGCTACACAGGTAGGGGACCCAGGAGGGCTTCCTCAGAGGAGGGAGACCTGAGCTGGCACAGTCGCTCTGTCTCCCATGTGACACCCTCCCCATGCCACGATGTGACAAGTAGAGCAGCCAGACGAGCACCCAGGATTATCTGCACCAGCACCTGTTGACCTCAAGAGGGAGCTGTGGCGGAGATGCAAACCTGCAGGCATCTACTGAACTTCCACAAACCCACCTCCTCAGTCAGCAAGGCCCAGCACAGCAACTGCCCAAAGCGACATAGCCCACCCACCACAGAACATGGAAGATGAGAAAACATGCTTGTCCCTCAAAGTCAGGAATTGGTGAACTCTTTTCCTGTTCATGTCAACCTTTTGGGCTTTACCCAAAACATCCCTGCTGCAATCACTCAGCTCTCACTGTGGCTGAAAAAAGCAGGCAGAGAAAACACAGAACTAAGCGTGGCTGTGATCTGGCGACACTTCCTTTGCAGGCACCACATCTTTATCTCATATAATTGTCCTGTGTCATAAAATTCTAATCTTCTCCTTGCAAAATCAATTTTTTCAAGCATTGACCAATTCAAAAACCATTTGTCTCCACTCATTTGAGCTATTACAATAGAAGAGCATAAACAAGATAGCTTGGAAACAGCAAAACTGAATTCTTAACAGTTATGTAGACTGGGGACCCAACACCAAGACGCCGGGAACTACACTGTGTGGTGTGGACCTGCCTCTTTAGTCACAGACATCATCTTGAGGCAGAAAGGGTGAGAGAGATCCCAGGGACATCTACTAGGAGGGGAACTGATCCTACTCATGACTGAGCCAGCTTTAGGACCCTAATCACTTTTCAAAGACCCTTTCCACCTCCAAATGCCATATTACTGGTATTTCACATTTACCAATGTAAGGATTTGGAGGAGCAAACATTTGGTTTGAAGCACTATTCCTAGCCCATAAGCTGCACAAAAAACCCACATCAGCCACATTTGGCCTATGAGCCATAGTTGCCTGACCCTTCTGTTGGGACCCTTCTGTGTCCTGACAGGAACACAGAAGAATAGAGAAGAGCCCATGTGGTTGTTCTGAAGCAGCAGATTTGAAACCAGACAGTCACACAATCTTCTACGGCTCAGCCAAGAAAATGGGGATGATAACAGCAGGTGCACCTCTTGGATAAGCATGGTCAAGCTTACCGAGAATGCAGAGACCTGTATACAGAGCCCTCCAGAGGGAGCATCCTGCACATAGTGAGCACCAAGGAAATGGTAATCAGCACTGCTGAGGTGACCAGTCCAGACCCAACCCAAGCAGGCCAGCGGTTATTACTGAGACACATCTGGATTAGCTGGTTAAGTTGACCCATTACTCAAAACTGCATGTCTCCAGCTACTGAGCACCAAAACACTTTAATGACCTACGACTATGGAAAAAATCTGAACATGTTGTAGGTACAAGTGATACTTTATATAATAGAATATTTGCATGCCATTAAACAATACTTGAAATAAATAATGCCTTGAAAACATCATTTGCAACATCTCTATCTTATTTTTCTCTTTGTGACCAAAAGATCAAAAATTCCATGGCACTTCAAATGCCTTAGGACTAAAGCATTATTATCTAATGAGTAGACAGCATTTCTCAAATTCCCAGCAAGAAAAATCAAAATCAAATTCATATGCCTTTTAATTTGAGTGGGAGAAACAGGAAGAGGCCTGGGGCCAAAGTTACTTACCACAAACCTTGATTAACCACAGTATTACTTTCTTTTTTTTAAAGATTTAGTTGTTTATTTGAAAGTCAGATTTACAAAGAGGAAGAGACCAAAAGAAAGATCTTGCATTGGTTGGTTCCCTCCCCAAGTAGCCACAGGGCTAGAGTTGGGCCAGTCCGAAGCCAGGAGCCAAGAGGTTCTTTAGTGTGTTCCACATGTATCACAGGGGCCCAAGCACTTGGGCCATCTCTGCTGCTTTTCCCAGACCAGCGCCATGCGGCTGGATCCAAAGTGGAGAAATCAGAACACACACCAGCTCCCATATGGGATGCTAGCCTCACAGGCTGTGGCTTTACTTGCTGCACCATAACGCTAGCCCCTACTGTTGCATGCTTAATGCTTACCAAGAAGGGCAGCGGGTACAGTGCAGGTTCCTCAAACAGGGCGAGAGAAAGATCCACACAAATAAATATGTATGTGGCGACTCGCAGGGTCCAGTGGTTATAAAAGCAATAAAGTCTGGAGGGAAAGAAACCAAGGTGGTTATAGACAAGGGGCCAAAATAAAACAGCACCTCAAACTTCTTCAGAGGACTCGGGGCAGGAACAATCAAGAAGCAGTGGTTTCAGGACTAGGGAGAGGAGCTATCTCTGGTTATTACTTAGCTCCAACTTCGGGTCCCCACCCTCTCTGCAATGACCATGAGGGATGCTCCAGATCCCCCCCAACACACACACACACACACACACACACACACACACACACACACTCACAAATTGGAATGGATAGGCAGAGAACAACAAGGAAGGCTTGGTCAGCATGGACTCACACACACCTTACTAGGTAAGACACTGGGATTAAGTGCTCCTCACCAAGGTATGGAAGATTTCTCTGCACACCCTTCCTAAAACTGTTTCACACCTCAATTGTTGAAATGTCATTGAAATAGTCACAGGAAGTTGTTAAGACCATGCATCCAATTTTGACAAATTGGTTGCTCAATACTTTGTCAATTTATCCTTTAACATTATATATTGTTGCTGATGTTATGTTGGGGCTTTTAATTGACTGGGATTCTACTCTGTTGGCTCTGTCTTCAGACAGGGGAGGGTCTCCCCAAGAAGCTGCTGAATTTGACCGGACAATGAGATGCTGGACTCTATGCTTGGTGTATGCTTGCAATGAAGGAATCTCAACCAAACCTAAACTGTGGTTGTGCAATGGGAGGGAGGAACCCACCATGGGGGGAGGGTTGGGAAAGGGGTGGGGGGAATCCCAGTGCCTATATTGAACTGTGTCACATAATACAATAAATAAATATATATATACATATATATATATAAAAGAAGCAGTGGTTTAGTCAGGCTTCCTTGACATTCTAGGAAGTAGGGATGATGTGTCACTGCATGACACTACCGGAGAAGAAAATCAAGAACCTGATCGTATCTCAAAACACTTTTTTTTTTAAAGCTTCAAGATAGGATTGCCACCTTCCTTGCAAGGAGAATATTTTCAGTGGACTCTGAATAATAACTGATGTCAAAAAGATCACGAGGACTTTTAATTATTCCGTAGCAGGCAGCGCTCCAGGTCGATTTGAACTTACACTTCATCCCATCCCAACAGGGCAGACTTTGGAGCAGATCTGCCGGTCACACGGTTGGCTCCCTTGTTGGAGAGTGGACTATCCTCACACCTGCCTGACAGCATCCCTGGCCAAGGCATTTGAAGATTTTGGAGGTATCATCCTAAGCCACGGAGGATACATCGTGTTTTCTTCCTTATTCTAGGTCAAATACTTGGTCTCAGTCCAACCCTTAGAGCATGATACAGAAAAAGCTAAATTCCCATGAAAAGAAGAAACATTATGGATTGTTTCAGAGGAAATCAAAATAGAAAGGAAAAGGAGAAAGCATGGATTGCACTTTTAGCGCCTCTAGGGGAACGAAAAGCGCCGCCAGGTCTGGGCTTAGGGCCCCATCTCCATTCATCTGTGCCTAATCTAGTGAATACTTCCCTGCCTCTGAGGCACAAAGCTTTTAAAAACAGAGCAATAGAGTTTATCCAAATCTCCATTCCACACCCTAGGTCTTCCTGGAGGCTGTGAAAACATCTTCAGCCTGGGTTCAAGCGTAGGGGCATCAGTGGCCCACAAGTGGTTCTGGTGGAGTGTGGTCTGCTTCCATTACCTGATGGCCCGCGGGGATGTTTCAAATGGCACGTTCCTGTTGTACTGAGCATCCGAAACGTAGGCAGCTGCCAGGAGGAGGGCCTGTTCCCATCGGGAGGAAGGAAAGACAAGTCACAGAAGGAAAGCACCTAGTCCTTCTGCCTTTGCATAAATGTATCAACTCCAGGAGGAAATTCCCATCGCCTCTGCACAGCCCTTGTTCCCGCCAGCAGCACTATGGCAACTACACTCCAACCGTTCTCTGGGGAACCAAGAAGGTGGCGGCCACAGGTGTACTACACTCAGATATGGGCTCACCAAGGTGGAAAGGAACATGACACAGCATTGATGAGTTTAAGCGGCACAGTTATTTGCACATATGCAAAATTACATACACACATGTAGATGGATACACACACATGAAAATACAAACACCAAATTAAAGTTGCCCGATGGGTGACTGGGAGGAACTTTAAAGAGTGCTTCTGACAAGTGAATTGTTGACTTGATGTCTTTCGACTCTAGCTCTTTAAGACAGGAGTCCATCACCTATTGCCTAACAACAGAAATGCATTCTGAAAAAAAAGTTGCAAGGCAATTTTGTCATAGTCCAGATATCTTAGAGTGCACATCCACAAACCAGTGGTGCTGGCACACACACACCACCATCATGGGCAAAGTCCATCACTGGCTGGAATGCTGGTGCGTGGCATGTGACTGTAATAATATGATTCCCAGATCATATACACTTTATTCTTTCCATTCAGCATCTTCAGGTCTTCCAGGTAGCTTCTGTCTTTCTCCTCTATTTTAAACATAATGAAACATTCTTAACATTTATGTTACACACACGCAATCCTTTATGCCATATGGTCATTTTTTTAGGACACAGTATAATTTCTGAATAGCAAGTTTTGTGCACTTCCTCTTTTTGAAAAAGTGGCATCTTATTCGTGTAATGAAAAATTTATTTTATTCATTTGAAAGGCAGAGACACAGAGGAGACACACGTGTGCACATGCATGAGGTCACACATACATGTGCATGTACACAAATGGGAAGAGAAGACGTACGTGTGTGAATGTACATACATGGGAAGGAAAGGCACACGTGCAAAAACACGCATGGGAAGAGGAGACACATGCACACACACACACACACACACGCACACACGGGAAGGTAAGAGCAGGAAGACAGATTTCCATTTGTTGATTCACTCCCCAGATGGCTACACCAGCTGTGCTGGGCCAGGAGCCTGGACCTCCATCCAGGTCTCCCACATGGGTTGCAGGAGCCCAAGCACTTACGTCATCCTCTGCTGCTTTCCCAGGAACACTAGCAAGCAGCTGGATCAAAAGTGGAGCAGCCAGGACTCAAACTAGCGTTCATCTGGGATGCCAGCTGCACCACAATGCCAGTCCCCATTTTCTCTTTCGATAAGTACTGAGCTCCCCCAGCACGCACATGTTCTATGCACATTCTATGCACACGTTATGCACTTCTAAACAGCCCACAAGCAGATGTGCTTTCCCGCTGCTCAGCAACACTGACACAATCAAGCAGCGCTGCGAAGGTCTGCCCAGCCAAAAGACTCCTGGAGACCCCAGTGGACTTGTTGAGGCACTGTCCCATGAGGGCGCGGCCTCTACATCCAATCCTGTGTTCACCTAAAACCAGAAGGAGTCCCTTTCCCATGTTCCTTTGCTGGAGGGCCCTCTTAAATTTCACTTTCTGGGCCCGGCGCGGTGGCGCAAGTGGTTAAAGGTCCTCGCCTTGCACGCCCGGGATCCCATATGGCGCCGGTTCTAATTCGGCAGCCCCGCTTCCCTTCCAGCTCTCTGCCTATGGCCCGGGAAAGCAGTCGAGGACAGCCCAAAGCTTTGGGAACCTGCACCCGCGTGGGAGACCCGGAAGAGGCTCCTGGCATCAGATTGGCATAGTATCGGTCCGTTGCGCTCACTTGGGGAGTGAATCATCGGATGGAAGATCTTCCTCTCTGTCTCTCCGCCTTTCCAATGAAAAAAATAATAAAAATAAATCTTTAAATTTCACTTTCTCCATGAAGACTGGCCGTGCCAGCAGCCTCCGTTTCCATATGGAAAGACTACCCAGAGAGGCTGGGCTGTGACCACCACTGTGGGGGATCCACACCAAGAAACAGTTGTTAAGGGCAGGATAGCATGCAGCATCACGGCAAGAAAGATGAGTGCATCAGGGGCAGCGAGCTGTTAGTGTAAGATCTGCTGGTCCTGCTATGGGGAAATTCACAGTCCAAACACTGAGAGGCCCAAGTGCAGACTAAAGACGTGTTTTGTTTGGCCCCAGAACATGCCTTTTGGATGCTGGCTACTATTTCCATTTTTTTAAGGCTGGAGCTTACACAAAAATGTGAACTTTTGGTTACTCTTTGAAAGATCATAACATCTGGCAATGCTGAACAGTACTAAGTAAATGATGGCTGCCCAGCCTAGTACCCAGTCACCTACAGAAACTTTTTACTATTTTTCTCAGTTTTACGAGTTGGCCATGCAGCCTTGGTCTCAGTCAATCTAGCTGATTTGCATGGCCCCCAGGGCTGCATGGTCTGGGGCAGCCTTGCTCACACGACTTGGGTATCCTGCCGTGGGCATCCTGCCACGAGGTAGCCTGCAGTCCTGACCCGCCATGGTCAACGGATCTCCATGTGAATCAGGCAGGGAGAGCACCTATGCTCAAGTGTCCTTCAGACTTCTGCTATTGTCCCATGGCCAAGGCCAGATTCGGGCACAAGGACACAGGCTTCACTTCCTGATGGAAGCAGTTAGAGGCATGTTGCCAAGGAAGCACGTGTTCAGGAATGGGAAGTCTCGGTGGCCGTGTCTCCCAGTCTGTGTGATAACCACTCGGCAGCGGGGTGGGCAGCTGCAGGCTGCTTTGGGCAGGGGCCATCCTCTCCAAGTGGTTGCAAGTCCCCTCCTTCCACGGACTCATGCCACCCAGCTCCCTGGTTTCATGCTGCTCCTTGCCTGTGGGGATGTTTGAACTTGGCCAAACACAAAAACTTTTCCGCAAATCATTGAAAGCAAATACCAGGTGACCAAGAACCCAAAGGAAGGGGAATCCAAGACCATCTGGAACAGGTTTTTTCAATTTTTAGGGGGGAAAAAAAAGGGTATTTATTTCTGTTGGAAAGGCAGATCTACAGAGAGATCTTGCATACACTGGTTCACTCCTCAAATGGCCACAATGGCCAGAGCTGAGCTGACCCTAAGCCAGGAGCCAGGAGCTTCTTCTGGGTTTCCAATGTGGATGCAGTGTCCCAAGGCTTTGGATCATCCTCCGTGTTGCTTTCCCAAGCCACCAGCAAGGAGCTGGATGGGAAGTAGAGCAGCTGGGACACGAGTCACACCCATATGGGATGTCAGCACTTTAAAAGGGACGGATCAGCCAACTGAGCATTCAAGCTTCTAGGAACAGGTTTAAGAATAAGAACATCCAGGGGCTGCACAGTTCTGTAGTAGGTTAATCCTCCCCCTGCGGCGCCAACATCCCATGTGGGCACTGGTTCTATTCCCCACTGTTGCATTTTCAATCCAGCTCCCTGCTGGTGGCGGGGAAAGCAACAGACTATGGCTCAAGCCCATGCCCCCCCACCCCCACCCCCCGCACGCACTTGGGAGATCTTAAGGAAACTCCTGTCTCCTAACCTCAGATTGGCCCAACCCCAGCGTGGACCTGCCAGCTGCCCTGACCCGCCAGCATCGCAAGGGCCAAGTGGTATCTGCACTCCTGGGGCGAGTGGGGAAACCCTCAGTGCTCCTCCCCACACGCACGGACCATTAAGTGTGGATTATGCCTAGCAGGGCAGCATTCGGCCAGCAGTCCAGAGCCATGGTTGCGGGCTGAGGGCATGACAGGTCCGCGAAGGACCTTTTGGGGCTGTTGGCTTCCCCACTTAGCCGTCCAACGTTACAGGGAGCCCTAGTTACTAAGAGCGCAGGGAGCCCCCGGGGGCAGAGGCACTCATTCACCAGCTTTACCTCCGTAGGGCTGGGTTGCCAACTGCTAGTGCTGGCTTCCCCTGGGTTCGCTTTCTCCCGCGGCGCCCCAGCAGTGTCCCGGGCAGGGAGAACCGTCTCCGGGTCCGGAACGCCGCCGTCGGACGCCCCTGGGAGCGCCACGCCAGCGAACCGCTTACCTCCTGGGCGGGCGGCTCCTCTGCTGGCTCCAAGCGCGGGCGACGCATCCCTGCGACGCTGGCGACCCCGGGCCTCGCGGGTGCAGCGCAGGAACGCAGTAGCGTCGGGTGGCCGCGGCGGACTCTGCCCTGCTGGGGCCCGCACGAGGCCCGGCCACCGCAGTTGCAGCGCTTGGCCCTTCACGTGATCGGGTCCGGCCAGCAGTTGCAGTCGGGTAGACGGAAAGTGGAGGACAGGCGGTGGTGGAGGCGCGGCGGGCTCCCCGACTCCGGCCCCTTCCCTTCCCGGCGCTGGGCCGGCCAGGGGCGGGGAAGTGGATCCGGCGGGGGCGACTGGGGACGCGCCAGGGGCCCGGGGGAGGAGAGGGGAAGCGCGCAGGCGGGCGGTGGCTAGGGGAGAGGCCGACGTGGCTGGGGTCGCTGGTTGTGCGCCTTGCACGCGGGACGCTGTGGAGCTTTCTCATCAGTGGAGCCAGAAAGAATTCCTTCCTCCCAGGCTTGTTGGGAGAATTAAAAGAGCTCATCTTCGTGCAGAAGCTCCCGCTGGCTGGTGGGTGCCAGCAATTCCTGGTTTCCTCCCCGCCAATGATGGGGGCGGCAGCAGCTCTGGGGGGGCTGGATACTCCCAGAGAGGGCGTCTCCCCGGTTCCAGCCTGACCTCAAAGGGTTGCTACTGCTGCTTAATTTTCAAGAAAATGCAGAAATTGGGATTTTTATAAAGTTTTTCCTTACTTTTCTAAAATAATAATCACTGGTCATGGGTTCAAATATTAAAGATGCTAATTAATTGTAGGTCAGCCTTGGTCAGCAGAAGCGGTATCCTGGTTCCTGTAGCCAACTAACTTTATTGGAGCATCTTAGAAAGGCCCTAAACCTGGGCAGGACGCCGTGCTGTCTCCCGGACACCACCATGTACCCCAAGTCCATGTGGTCCCTCATGATTCCTTGTTATATACAGGCTATTGCAAAGAATAAGAGACAACACATTGCATACAACCATACACTGACAGGAAACAGCAGCTCCCACTACACTCTAGAAGCCACTGCACTTCTGCACAGAAGTTCAGGGTTTTTAAAGCTGTCATTCTCTAATCCGCTTGAGAGCTGCTGCCCAAAGTTTCGTTGTAGTTAACTAACCTGAAGTAGCATGGTTGGAGGCAGAAGGGGCTGGGTGGCCAGAGTTTCCAGTGCCATGTCCGCACTGTTAGTTAACTTGAATGGCTTGAAGGAGGCACCAAAGACGGAGCCAGGTTTTTTTTTTTTTTCCCAAAGATTTGTTTTTATTGGAAAGGCAGATATACAGAGATGAGGAGAGACAGAGAGGAAGATCTTCCATCTGATGATTCGCTCCCCAAGTGACCGCAACAGCTGGAGCTGAGCCAATCTGAAGCCAGGAGCCAGGAGTTTCTTCCAGGTCTCCCATGCAGGTAGGGTCTCAAGGGTTTGGGCTGTTCTTGACTGCTTTCCCAGGCCACAAGTAGGGAGCTGGATGGAAAGCAGGGCTACCGGGATAGGAACTGGCACCCATATGGGATCTTGGTGTGCAAGGCAAGGACTTTAACCACTACACTATCACACCGAGCTGGTTTTGTTCATTCAATTAGCACAGGAGGAGATAAAAAGGGCAGGAAGCCAAACCTCCATTGCCAAGCTCTCTGTGCTGTCAATTAACCCAACAAGAGGTTGCTAGATGTCAACTGGCTGCCACCTTCACAGTGGCATCTGGCAGAGGACAGTGGGGTAGATAAAATTATGGTCTCCTCTAGATGGAAGAAAGAAGAAAAGAAGAAAAGAAGAAAAGAAAGAGAGAAAGAAAGAAAGAAAGAAAGAAAGAAAGAAAGAAAGAAAGAAAGAAAGAAAGAAAAGAAAGAAAAAGAAAGAAAGAAAGAAAGAAAGAAAGAAAGAAAGAAAGAAAGAAAGAAAGAAAAGAAAAGAATGAATGAATTATGGTTTCCCTTGGAAGATTCCACATCCTAACCTTCAGAGCATCAGTTCTGTCACTTGGGGCACAAATGAGACTTAGGTATAATTCAGGTTACTAATCAGATGGCCTTAAAATAGGAATGTCACTCTGGAGCAGCTAAATTGACCCAGTGGAATAACCTGCACCCTTGAAAGCTGTCATGGGAAGTGGAAGGAAAGATGACAGCACCTAGAAGCCTCTGATGAGTGCCATGTGCCTGGTGGCATGGATGTGGCTGCTGGCAAATGGAGGAAACCACCTCCTCAGGAGCTAGAATCTGGGTCAGCCTGAGTAATCCTAAAAGCATAGTCTCCGGAGCCTCAAGAAAGGAACACAGCTGTGCTGACAATTTCCTGGCAGCTTTGGGAGCCCCTTACACGCTGTTGGACTTCTGACATACAGCCTGTGAGACAGTAAACGGAAATCCCTGTAAGCCCCTACATGGGTGTCAACCCATTTCACATTGCAGCATGGGAAACAAACACTGGAACCTGGCTTGCATTTCAAGACCATACCATGCTCCCAAAAGTTAAAAGACCCTAAAGTGAGAACTGCTATTGGCCACACTTCTTAGTGGTCATGACTAGCATGTCATAGCCGCCTGAGTGTTCACCCTCAATTCCAACATTCTCTCTCTCTGTGCGCTACAACAGCTGCATGGTGTCTCAGAGGATGTATTTGTATTTTGTCCCATGCCACTAGGCTACCAAGCACCTGATGGAAGAAGGGGTTTGGGAAACCATCTTTGAATCCCCAGTTTGTAGCTGAAGCTATAAAACAAAATTCCCACCAGCATATAACAAATGATTCAGACCTCCTGGTGTTGTGGTGGGGCACAGTTGGTATTTAGCACCCACTTGCTGGATTAATTGACAGCATGGTCAGTATGGAAATGGAGTTTCTGTGCCCCCACTCTTCCTATTTCTTCTTGAAACTGGTTTCAGGTTCTACTATCCTCCCACTGCACTACTTTACACTAATTAACTACGGGGAAACTTCGGGCCCTGGCAGCTCGCTTCCTGCCTTCTGACAATCAGTTAACTGAATGCATGGAAACTTTGTTTATCCTACACAATTCTCAATCTAATGAAAGGATAAGAGCTTAAAACCCCCTGACTTTGGTTGCTTGGTGCAGTAGCTCCTGCAGTGCGGTGGGAGCTGCTGTCACAAAGCTTGGCCAATAAAGACTCCTGCTTACCATCTTACCATTGGGTCCAGTGTGATCCCTCTCCACTCTGCAACAGTGTAACTGTTTCTTGTGTGAATTGCCACATCACTGCATCCTCTTGAGAAGACAAATGGTTTGTTTCTGTCACATGTGGTAACTTTCTAAGGTTTTTTTTTTTTAAAAAAAGATGTATTTATTTATTTATTTGAAATGCAGAGTTAGAGGTGCTTGGGTTCTGAGCAGGTGAACAGGGTGAAGAGTAGGGACCCCAGGCTGGCATGCTGATAGAGGTGTGCTGGTAGAGCAGGCTTGAGGACATGTGAGTGTGCTTGGGTCTCAGGCAGGTGGGCAATAGGATCCCAGATCAGCACGCTAGTGTGGGCCTTGAGATCCATGCACATGCTTGGGTCTCAGACAGGCAGAGGGATAGAATTCCAGGCTAGCATGTGTGCCGGAGAACTGGGTCTGGGGAACTGTGCATACACTTGGATCCTGGGTGGGTGGGCAGGGATCCAGGCCAGCCTGCTACCCTGACAGCAGACTGGAGTAAGGAACCCATGTGCTCAGAGAAGGGGAGATGGAATGTGAGGAAGGAAGACCATTGAGGGAGTATGTTGCAGGTGAGATATGATTTCTGAGAAGGCTACTGTACTTGTAGGTAAGCAAGGGGGCTGAGACCAAGGGAAACTAGAGGACCCTTCTAAGTCAACCAATGCACCTACCCATGTGGGAGATCTGACTTGGGCTAGTTAGCATTGACCACTACCGACCACCACCCACTGGCACACACTAAAGCTAGGAGTGACGGATCTACCTGGCAGGGCTTGACCACAGTGAGTGATGGAACAGGGGGTGAAAAACATTAAGTTGCGCTATGACACTAGCCAGCAATGAGAAAAGCAGGCCTGAGTGCAGAGTCTGTAGGGAAGTTGTATCTCACCATTGTAGGGCTGCAATGCCTGCTGCTTTGCTCATGAGCTGGAGGTGGTGACAAGCCAAACCAGATATGACCATCGAACTCACTGACATTAACAGGTACTGGTATTGGGAATGGCTGGGGAGACCAAGGTTGCAACACCTACAGGTGCACCCAAGAAATGGGGGTGGAGCAGGCATGTCTGCAACACCCACCAGCACCAAGACCAAGGCTGGGGTATGCTGGATAAGAGCCTAGCACCCACTGGCATGCACAAAATCTGGATATGGGATTGGGCCTAGGGGGGGACTTGGAGAATTCCCATGGTAAGCTATAGATCCTGCTGGTGAGCACATGAGTCAAGGCCAGGCGAGGAAGGCAGCTCCACTTGTCACCAGGTGTGTGGGTTGGCTGGGGAGAGGAAAATGGGGAGCAGATCTGGCAAGGCTGAGCCAAACCTTAGCACACAGGCATGTGCAGGAGCCAGGATGGGGTGCAGGCCTTGCTGGGTTAGGTTATCATATCTACCAGTTTGCATGAAAACCAGGGCTGGGGGCAGGTTAGGCAGGACAAGGTTAGGCAGCAAGAGTTGAATCTGGTAGTGGGGGACCGGGGTCAGGCTGCAACACCCAATGGCAAAGGCCAAAACAGGGAATCAGTCATGTAGGGCGGGGTCGCAGCAACATGCAACTGCAAGATCCATGGCTGGGAACAAGCCTGGTTGGGGAGCTAAGGTGACACCCTGGCTGGGCTGCAGTTCCCACTATTGAGTGTGAGAGCCAGAATGGGGGTGGCGAACTTGGCTGGACATGGTCGCGGTATCTCTCAGCATGAATGTTGTCGTGCCCACGTGTCTTACCGCCCAGCAATAAGACGCAGACGCGAGTGAAGTCTTCTGCGGTAAAATTTATTGTGCACAGCAAGATGAGGAGGAGAGAGGGCTCCGACCCTGGCAGGCTTTCTGCTCTTATGTGCTGTCTGGCCCCGCCTCCGCCGATGATAGGTCGGCGTCATGATTACGCAGGGTTCTGGGCGACTGGATTCGTCAGTCCCAGTGTTTACGTGCCTGCCGCGCCGCAGCTCACTGCGCATGCGCTAGGCGCCTGCGCAGTACTGCGAAAGCTACGTGACTCTCCACCAAACACCAAGATGTGGCTTCTCTGGCTGGCGCCATTTTGGGTACGGCATGTGGCCAGTACGTACAGAGGCGGCTGGCAACAGAATGTGGACTGGGTCTACAGTATGCCAGACTGCAATAGATTCCACTATCTACTGGTGCTCACAAGAGCCAGAGGGGGTGTAGGATAGGCTATGTTAGGCCCCAGCACTGGCTGAACCACGTGATAGTCAGACCAGGCAGGGCTGGTCTGTAGCACCCAGTGGTAAGAGCTGGAATGAATGTGAGCCAATCAGGCAAGGCCACTGTACCTATAGGGACAGCAAGTGGGCCAAGCCAGGTTGGGCTAAGAACCTACCAGTGTGCGTGATCTCTGATACAGTAGCCTGAGAAACTCCTCTGTTTATCATCTCACACAGGAAAATATTGCCCTCTGGCCCTGGATAGCCAGGATTTCCTTTGTTCCATTGAACACAAATCCACTGCAGCACCCAAGAAATAGAACCGATAATGCTGTTGGACCCACAGGCCCAGAGGAATGGTGAGGTTGGAAGAACAGTTACTGGGCCCCTTCTCATGTTGACACAATTGCCTTCAAAGAGAAATAATTTTCAATCAAGAAACATGACCAATACAAGGCAACCCTGAAGGCAAAGGTCTGCATTAGCGGATGTAAGAGCATCTTACATTCACTTTCCTTCCTCCTTCTAATAGCCTGAAGGGGCTCCCTCTGGATGCAACCAACCAGAAGCAGAGTACAAAGCAGCCCTGTGATGTGATCGCCTGGGTCAGCCTCCCTGGGCCGGGCAGAATGGACGCAGGTGGAGAACACACAGACAAGTTTTAGACACGTTTAACTTTAGACATTCATGTGCAAGTGTCTGGTAGGCAGCTGGATATTTTTCTTACTGCTTAAAAGAGAAGTTGGGGGAAATGTAGACTTGGAAGAACAGAGTGAAATGCACAAAGGGAGAAGAAATGGGACAGGAAACGTGATAAAGCATAGGAATGGCAGATGATGATGAGAGAGAGATAGAGATCAGAAAAGGAGAAAAGACACATGTAGGAAAGCAAAATAACAGCAACGTTCCAATCTTGTGTGCTTGTGCTCACCTCTGCCTGAAAACCAAACTGCATCCAGAAACTAAAGCTTAGAAGTTGTAAAGAACGGAGACAACGCAGGAGATTCCTGACCCCAGGAACTTTAGAAAACGGGCCCTGAGGCAGCCCAGCCATGTAGCCAACAGTAAATCTAGGGGAGGATGAAACACTTACCTGGCAAGGACTTTAGCTGCTAGGCTACCGTGCCAGGCAGAAGCATGTAGTGCATCATTCAAAAGACACTCTTGTAATCAGTTAATCCATTATACTTGATTAGTCAGTCTCAATTCAAATGCAAATCTCCCCGTTAAGATATCATTATCAGGTGCACTAAAATATGTCATTGAAGCTGTTCGTGTAGGAAAAAGATTACCAAGCTTCCTGTTGGGGCACACTGCTTCTTTAAACTTTAGACCCCTGCCTCCCCTAGCCCCTGGCAGCTCTCCTCACCCACTGGACAAGGCTTCCCCCTTAGGAGAAAGCTGTCTCCACAGTCTCTGACTGCTCTGCGTGCCTAATGAGTCCGACATTTAAGGCTCCAGCGTAGATGACCCAGCTTATTTTTAGTCCAAAGGCTAGAATTTCAAATGAGGTTCAAATTTGTGACAACGGCTGCAGCCTACGTGAACAGCCTCAGGCTGCCCTCAAAATGGCCTCTGCAGTGTCTGAGAGGTATGAAGTCAGCCCAAATCCCTTACTTAGCAGATGGGAAAACTGAGGTTACCGACGACACTTAGTCTCAGATTGTCCTAATTTTATCTGTCAAGATTCTGTGTGTCTGTCTACCCGGAAGCTTTCCCTGACTGCTCCTCACTGTTGCCAACACCGAAGATGGACCAAGTATCTGCTATACGCAGGCCTCTGTTCTGAGCACTGGGGATTCCTCGGGAAACACGGGAGACCCCAATCCCCATCCTTAAGTAGTTTACCTTCCAGCAGGCAGGGAAACTAACCAACAACGACAGCCTTGATGCTGGGGAACAGAGCAGGCCCATGGGGACTGGGGAGTCTGATGGTTGAGATGCTGGAGCCAGGCAGTAAAGCACCTGCTTCCAGGCCTGGCCTGAGCTCCTGCTTCTCACTTCCTGCCAATGCAGAGGAGGAGGCAGCTGTGACAGTTCTAGAAGCTGGGTCCTGTCAGTCGCATGGGAGTCCTGGATTCCATTCTCTGCTCCTGACTTTGCCCTGGCCTGGTCTCCACTACTGTGGGCACATAAGGGATAAACCAGTGGGTTTTTATTTCTCAAGCAATCAGATGGTCTTCCTTGAGCAAGTGAGAGTCTGGGTTGTCCATTACGGGTAGCCCCCAGTCCCACATGAGGCTGTTGTATCCAAGGGACCAAATGTTTCATTAAAAAATAATAATAATAATAATAGTAATGATAATGGGGCCTGGCATGGTAGCCTAGAGGCTGAAGTGCTCACCTTGCATGCTATGGGATCCATATGGGTGCAGGTTAGTCTCCTGTCTGCTCCACTTCCCATCCAGCTCTCTGCTTGTGGCCTGGGAAAGCAGTCGAGGATGGCCCAAAGCCTTGGGACCCTGCACCTGCATGGGAGAACTGGAAGAGCTCCGGGATCCTGGCTTTGGATTGACACAGCACCGGCGGTTGCAGTCACTTGGTGAGTGAATCATCGGATGGAAGATCTTCCTCTCTGTCTCTCCTCCTCTCTGTATATCTGACTTTACAATAAAAATAAATCTTAAAAAATCTAAAGCTGATTACACGTTGAAATAACACCCTGGAGGATATATGTTGAAGTAAGAAAAACATAGTAGAGCAGTAACAATTTCATCTGTTTCTATTTGTTTACTTTTAAAAAAAAAGTTATCAGAAAAATTTAAAGTTACACAGGCTGGCAGCCTGTTCAAAGAAATGGTAATATTGGTTAATAACAAAAGGCAATATCTGATTAACGTGAAACAACAAATACTGTTCGGTTGGAGAGAGGCGGGTGGCCCAAAGCCTTCCTCGGTCCAGCCAAAAGCTGGGAGAATTTTCAGAAGGCCGGAATGAGTCACCACCAGTGGGTTCCCAGCGGACCCGCGGGAGGCCTAGGGCGATCCCGGAGGGCCACGCCCCCTGACTTCCTCTCGGTCCGCCGCGCCCGAGAACGCCCCGCGCCTTTTGACCCCGGCGCGGCGCCGTACCCGGAACGCGCTAGCTGCTCCTCGGGCGGGCGCGATGGCGAATGTGTCCGAGAGGACGCTGCAGGTGTCGGTGCTGGTGGCCTTCGCCTCGGGAGTGCTGGTGGGCTGGCAGGCGAACCGGCTGCGGAGACGCTACCTGGACTGGAGGAAGCGGCGGCTGCAGGACAAGCTGGCGGTGATGCAGAAGAAGCTGGACCTGGCCTGACCGCTGCGTCGGAGCGCACGACCGAGCCACGCTTGCTCTCCCTCCCCACCTGCCGCGCCGGGGTCCTCCGGGAGTCTCGGTGAGCCCTTGGGCAGGGTCTGATGGAGGCTCTGGTCACACAAGGAAAGGGAAGTCTGGTGTTCCGGGGTAGCCTGTACTTGGGCTGCCGCTTAGCTCACGGCAGGTGTTCACTGGGAATGGCTTAGCATGCCCTGATATCGTTAAGCTTGGAGATGAAAATATTACGGAAGGAGTGAGATCGAATAAAACAAGCAGGGGAGGTTGTTTCTGCCTCCTCCCTCCGGTCCCCATCCTGGTTTCGGATGACGCCCTTGGCATGGAGATTTGCCAACGCGAATCCGAGTTTTTAAGTGGTAGAGGCCCGGAAAGAGCAAAGGGCAGGCGGGGGCTTGGACTCTGGGGCCTTACATCCCAGCCCGTGTTCCATCAGTTTCCAGCGCCTCCCTTTTTCTTGTCCAAGACACCAGATCTTGGAGTTCGGGACACCGTAGCGTCGTCCTGCCGTTCTAATTCTTTCCCCTTCTTCTTTGTTTCCAACAGCTTCTGCAGGTGGACATAAAGCACTGGAGGGAAAGACTTTTCTTCTTGCACTTTATGAACCCATTTTATTTTTAAAATAAAATATTTTAAGCATCCTTGAATCTACTTTCAAAGAGGGAAAGAAGTATCTTTGCCTTAGCAGTTCATTATCCTCAAGAGATCTGGAGTGCCAGAATCAGTCCTTTCTTGCTTTTTGAAAATTTCCCTCGTTTTGGAAGCTCTACTGGTTGCTTGGTTACAGCTCTCAGCCAAACTGAGGTAAGGAAGAGTGAGGGCTGATTCCAGTTCCAGAGTGTATCAGATATAACCTCACATTTGCAAAATTCTTCTTTGTGTCATGGAGTATACTAAGAAGTGGAAACCCTCCTGAGCATACCTAGAGGATGATCCCAACCATATCTACAATTTAAGAGAGAGCTTTTTCTAGCACACTGTGCTTGCTCATTCCTGTAACAGTTTTGTGACGTTGTAGCTCAGCTTCATGGTAACCAAGATTTCCCAGGAAAGCTTGTCCCCCTGCTTTCTCTAGGGCGCTCCATAAAGTTTGGGGCTTCCAGCTCCAGTTCAGAGTGGCTGTGGTATTCCAGGATCAGAGTGCTGCCTTAAGATCAGCTCAGCACTGGCTGTTGTGGCCACTTGGGGAGTGAAGTGGCAGATGGAAGATCTTTCTGTCTCTCCTTCTCTCTGTACATCTGTGGTTCCAATAAGAAGAAATAAATTTTTAAAAACAAGACTGCATCCCGTCCAGGCTGCAGTTTGAGGAGCTTCTGGGTCCCCAGGAAGAGCTGAAGGCTGACACACTGTTGGCTGTTGGCACTGCTGGCACTGTTCTTTCCCCACCCCACACATACAAGTTGTTGGAATGTACCTGGCTCATCTTAGTGATGACCAGTTCTGTGGCCCTGGGTCTGTTCCTGATCTTTCCAGCACTGATCGCCTTTTCCCCCATTCCCTGTGAGCATTGCTCTGACCCTCTCACCTCTCCTGTTCCACAGCTGGACTGCCCTTCCTTAGGGCGTGCGGGGCTCACTCCCAGTCCTGCCCACCTAGGGGCTTTTCAGGCACTAAGTGCTACTCCCAGTTCTTTCCTTGGTGGCTCTGTTTGACCTCATCTGTCACCTTTTGTCTTCCATCTTTGTCATGCCAAAAGGTGGTAGTCAAAATATTAACCTTTTGCTGCACCAAAGATCATCTCACAGGCCTGGTACAATGGCGCAGTGGCTAAATCTTCACCTTGCATGTGCTGGGATCCCATATGGGCACAGTTAGTGTCCTGGATGCTCCACTTCCCATCTATCTCTCCGCTTATGGCCTGGGAAAGCTGTAAAGGATGGCCCAAAGCCTTGGGATCCTGCACCCACATGGGAGACCCAGAAGAAGCTGGTTCTGGCTTTGGATCAGCTCAGCTTGATGGGAAATGGAGTAGCCAGGACACAAACCAGTACCCAAATGGGATGTCGGCACCGGCAGGTGGAACGTTAGCCTGTTGAGTCAACCGTGCCAGCCCAGATACTTGTTGTCCACAGCTAAGCCCTCTTGATGGCCTCATCTGCCATAGAGGTGCTCCCTGGAGGCCACAGTTGTCTTACTGCCTAGTTCACCCAACTGGCCCTCCAGCGGCAGACACTGTCTGAGTTTAGGCACTTGCCCTTCACTGCTGCTCCTGCTCTGCTGGGCCACCAAGCTCAACTTGCTTGTGTGACCTGTTCTGGTTTTTTGTTTGTTTGTTTGTTTTTTTAAGCAGTGCTTCTCTGTGTTCCTCGAACACCCAGCTGACATCTTTCTTTCCTAGTAGATTGCTGTCAGTCATATGAAAAGATGAAGGCCATTAGGTGGTTTTTCAATTTGAAGTTAGACCTACGTTTAAGTGCATGAAGATTTCATCAAATGGTGGCTTGTTTATTATGCAATCTTTTTGTTTTTATTTTACTTAACAAATGTGGTCACTTCTAAGTACTGATTTATTCATCCATTTAAAAATATAACCATTTCCTCATTTGTTGCTAAAAACATTAACATTTTTAGAAATAGCTTATTTAAAAGGCAAAGATAGGAATCGTTGCCCCTGTTGGTCCACTTCCCTCAGGTGTCTGTGACAGTTCCAGGAGTTCTGGGACTCAGTTGGGTCTGCCCTGTGGGTGGCAGGAGCCCAGTGACTTGAGTTATCACTGCTGCCTCCCATGGTGCACCTCACAGGAAGTTAGAACCAGATGTGAAGCTTGGACTTGAACCCAGGCCCCTCACTTTAGGGGACACTGGGAATCCCTCACTGGGAGCCCTACTAGCATCTTCACTGCTGCCCCAAACACACCCTTGTTGCCCATATTTTCTAATGGAAACACTATGTCTGGTAAGGCAAGTGGATTTTTTAAGTATCATGAGTTATACTAGAAAATTTGAATTAAAGACATGAGCTACAACAAAACAATTTCAACAGTTACTAAGGACACAGAATGAAAACTCGTACACTACTGATAGTAGAAACTGGTGCAGCCCCTTTTAGGACCCTGGCATTATTGATTAAAGCTGAACATAAAACACCCGGAATGAACAATCCACAGTCACAGACAACGTACACAGATTTCGCACAATGTTGTATTGCTAGTCGACTCACTGTATCCCAACAGTGAGTCGGAGGCAAACTCTTAGAAGCCTGGGAGTCTGTTCACCAGCCTGCACTGTCCTGTACTACTGCAAGTGGACGAGGGTAGCAGCCCCAAATGGAATGGCCACTGTCAGGGGTGTTTAAGCTCATGCTGGCAAGAAAAACTACCCAATCAACTAAGCTAAAATTAGCATGGGCACAAAAGACTATCCAATCAACTAGGTTAACACTGGAACAGTGTGACAAAAAGAGGAACTGTCAGGAATTCTTGTTGGGCATGCTTTGCTCCCAGGGCTGCTCTGGGAGTCTTATCAGAGGCTTGGGAACACCCAAGCTCTGAACTGGCCAACTGGCTGGTAAAGGTGACAGACTAAAGACCTGTGATTTATTCTGGCTGAGAGGGGAAACTTTGTAGCTGCATGCTAATCAGGATAAGGGGAAGGTCTGCCACCTGCAACCCAAGTGCCAGGCACCACCAGGAGAAACAATGACTGTAGATGGTGCTACTGTGTCTGTAATGTCTGCTTCTCAGGGAGGCCTGTGTCAAACAATGTGTCTTTCAGACTCTGAAAGAAATGTAAGATCCCATACTGAAATATTTTCTTGAGATACACGTTCTCATCCTTGCAAAGGGACTTCTCTAGAACTTAAGGTTGTGCCCAGCATCAAGTTATGCACACATCAGAATATTCTGGGGGGGTCCAGCTGGACTGCCAGCAGTTTCTAGCACCTGGGTTGCCAAAGGTGAATGAAGTCTGCATGCTGCATGGTTGCATCATGTGGTCCAAAACAGGCAACACAGGGTAATGCTGGTTAGGAGTCAGGTCAGGGGTGGAGGAGGGAGATGAGAGGGAGCTGAGGTCTAGAGTAGATGGAAAGGAAGATGAGGTGCAAGTACATGGTTTCTTAGTCTAGGTCCTGGTACAAGGCAGTGGTGTTTGCATGAGCGGGTGAATATTATATGTAGTTTTTTAAAAAAGGGACAAGCCGAACTAGCCGTTGGAATCCATCATTTGGAAGGGGAGCTGGGGTCATTGTCTCTCTGGTATGGTGGGGTGTGGGACTTGGGCTGACAGATGCAGTCCCACTTGGGGGAAATGCTCCAAGCTCAGGGAGACTGGATGGCAGCTTGTTACCCACGGGCCTTACGGACAGAGTTCAGGGTGGATAACGTGCGAATACAGAATGAAATAAAACTTCAGCAGTACCCCAAATGGCAATCAAAAACGGCGTTTTAAAATGAGAGTGTGCAACCCGCGAAGGCCTTGCAGTTTAAGATGCTCGAATGTTAAGTGAAGATTACTTTATAACCAAAGTGTTATCAGGAAACAGGTGCAATTACGGACGGTGTCAACGGGAAAGCCGTGGTAACGCTGATGGTGGCCCCCAATCCTTCGGAATCTGGGAGAAAAGGGGCAGCGAGCTGGAGCTGCCAGGGTCAGCTCTGGCGCGCGGCGGTGGCGTCACCTTCCCGCGCCGCCGCCTGCGTTTCCCTGGCGACCGGCGGGCGCTGGACTCGGCGGCCAGCACCATGCTGGCCAGGCGTCCGCGCGACCCCCTCCAGGCCCTGCGGCGCCGCAACCGGGAGCTGAAGCAGCAGGTATGGGTGGGCTGTGCAGAGGGGCCTGGGCCGGCCGGAGCGGGCGAGCAGGGCGGTCTCCTCACCCTACTCCCAGCTGAATTCCCGGAGACGGCCCCCATCCCACTGTCCACTTCCCGGCGCCAGACCCCGAACGTGACCCAGTCCCCAGCCCCGGGCGAAAACCGGGACCGGGCAGGATGCGGCTGCAGCGCCCTAGCGTCTCACGACTATGAACTCACGGCCCGACCTAAACTTTCCAAGTTTGCACCCCAGCTCTGCGCTCGGGGCCGCTCCACTCCTCCCGGGAGAGCTGCCGCGTTCCAAGCTAGCCAGATAGGGGGACAGGAACGGCCTCCTTGAGATCAGAGGCTGTGACCCGAAGACAAAATAGAAGTGCCTCAACAGCGCCCGAACATCCTTAACATGGGTCAGGAAAATGCAAAGGAGATAGCTAACCCAAAAGCTTTTTAAGTCACTAGATTTGGTGATGGGAAGGCAGGAACGCACGCTTGGTCACTCTTGTGGAAAGCAGTTTGACACCATGTAGCAAATATGCACACTGTAGTGTCGGGCAGTCACACACTTTGGAATCTGCTATCATAATAATTAAAAGAAAAAAAAAAGACTGAGATTGATCTAGAAAAGTATGTGTCATATTCTTATAAGCAAAAACCCAGTTACGACTTAAATGAGCAGTAAGAGGACAACAGGTGAGTAAGTGACGGGATATAGTAATATTGTGATTGAAATCTTGTTATACTTTTGTGTATTAGGGAAAGCATAATGGTACAATGTTAGGAATACAAAAATGGGCCCCTCGTGGTAGCCTAGTGGCTAAAGTCCTTGCCTTGAACGTGCCCGGATCTCATATGGACACTGGTTCTAATCCTGGCAGCTGCACTTCCCAT